TCCCCTCCCCGGACCCCACGTGATATCTCCCCGCCGGGCGCACGTGACACCGAGGCGCGCCCACGGGAAGCGCCGCGCCTCGGTGTCACACCCAAGCCAGGCGCGCGGGGCGGGGCGCGCCCGCGGGTGCCGCAGCGTAACCCTTCCGGGCGGGGGCGGCGGCCGCCGGGCGGTTCCCGCGGCGGGATGGAGTGAGCGGCGGCGCGGAGCGGAGCGGAACCGGGCGGCGCGGCGCGGAGCGGGGCCCGGGCGGCTTCTGCGAGCCCTGCCGGGAGGCAGCGGCGGGCGCCTCGTCCTTCCCGCCGGGGCTATGCGAGGGCCGCGCCGCCGCCTGCGCTAGGCCCGGCGCGGCCGCGGGGCCTCCCTCATGCGGGAGTACAAGGTGGTGGTGCTGGGCTCGGGCGGCGTGGGCAAGTCCGCCCTCACCGTGCAGTTCGTGACGGGCACCTTCATCGAGAAGTATGACCCCACCATCGAGGACTTCTACCGCAAGGAGATCGAGGTGGACTCGTCGCCCTCCGTGCTCGAGATCCTCGACACGGCCGGCACGGAGCAGTTCGCCTCCATGCGCGACCTCTACATCAAGAACGGCCAGGGCTTCATCCTCGTCTACAGCCTCGTCAACCAGCAGAGCTTCCAGGTAGCGCCTCGCCCCGGCCCCCCCTCCGCTCCCCGCCGCCTCTTCCCTGCCCTCCCGCTTCCCAGAGGGAAGAGGCCGCCCCCGGAGCGCTCCCGGGAGCCGCCTTTCCCCCCGGGAAGGCGCTGCCCGTGCGGGGAGTTCCCGGGAAGGCCGCGCGGCCTCCAGCGGGAGCGCTCTGGGCAGCCCCTCCCGCTGGGAAAGCGCTCCGTGTGGGAAAACAGGCTTCCCCTTCCATTCCTTCTCACATCTGTATCTACATGATCTATTCATCTCCCTATATATCAATTATATATATATATATATTGTTGAAGAGGGCTGTTCCTTGCGTTGCTCTTAGAGAGGGGCATGTGCTCCGCTTCTCTGAGACTTGACTAAACTCTGATCCCCCGCCCTATTCCGTCACCCAAAACCCCCGTGTTTCAGAGCAAACTCCCCCTCCACAGTGTAGGTGCCGGGCAGGAGAGACCAAGCAGCCACAGGGGATGTTTTCAGGGTCTGGATTTCATTTGTGTTGGGAAAACTCACTGGGGCGGGAGAGGGAAATGGGAATTTCTCAGGCAGTAACTGGTTTGAACTGCCTGGAGAAAGACGCCTCTMTCTGTGGGCAGTTACCGGCTGCAGCAGCGCCGCATGTAGCGCGGGGATTTGCAGCCTCTGCGCCGGCTCCGGGGCTGGTTTGGGTGTTTTCCAGCTGCTTGGCAGAGCCTCGCACACCCCTCCAAAGCAGAAGCAGCACTCGCTGCTGCCGAGCCCTGAGCTTCRTCCCAGAGGCCTCTGTGCAGGCAAAGGCTGCTTTGGAAAACGGCAGCACCCACCCTGCGATGTTTTTTTTCCTCCTTTTCCCCTCGTTTTCACTTATTTTGGAACCCCAGCCTGCTCCATTATTCAAGGAATGGGTATTCCACTAGTAATCCACCCTGTTAAAATCTAATTATTGCTGTCTGTCTGTTTATCCGTGGCTTTTAGGTATAAACTGCTCTCCATAGTTCTCTTTAACAGTGGCAACTTCAAGCACTTGCTCTGTCTCGGAGCTATGCAAGGGTCTGTAGGCCTGGTTCCTACTGATAGCAACTCAAAACATGCAGAGGTGCAGAGGAGGTTGACTCAGATTTTAAACGGCAAACTCCCCTGCAAACTCCTGCAAATTGAAAAAACGCATCTCTGTAACAAAACCTTCCAGTTCGCTTACTTGTATGTGATCAAATGCGTTCACAATGAATCAGCTGAGGCATTCCAGAGGTGAGGAGGCCACTGACTAGATTTCTGAAGCCGGAAGCTGAGCAGAGGCTTCCTCAACAGTTGTGTAATATTCAGGTATCAGTACAAATGTTACAGATGTGCTGTCATCAGATTTGAGATGGATTTCTCAGCAGTATAAATTTGGCTTGAAACAGGTCATGCTGTGTCTTCCTCTAGCTGAATCGAAAGTATCAGAATGCAGTAGTCACTAGGTACATATTTATAAAATATGCACTCATGTAAAATGAAAATATACTTTTATTGAAGAGAGATAGTGAACTTTGAGTCCTAGATACACTTGAGTATGAATTTAAGAAATAACATTTTTAAGAAAGTAATTGTTTTCAATTAAATGTAAGGGTTATTAGAATGTGGATTTTGTAGTCRTTATAGCAATTACGTGTGATTATTTATGCATAGTAACCATCTGGATTGTTTGATCAGGACATCAAGCCAATGAGGGACCAGATTGTTCGGGTGAAGAGATACGAGAAAGTCCCTCTGATCCTAGTGGGGAATAAAGTGGATCTGGAGTCGGAGAGGGAGGTCCTGTCCGCGGAAGGCAGAGCCCTGGCGCAGGAATGGGGCTGCCCCTTCATGGAGACATCGGCCAAGAGCAAAACGATGGTGGATGAACTGTTTGCTGAGATCGTCCGACAAATGAACTATGCCTCCCTGCCTGAAAAACAAGATCAGTGTTGTACAACTTGCATCGTCCAGTGAGAAAAATTAAGAAAAACCTCAGTCATGGCCATACAGAGCAGGTTGGTTGAACAGTCATAACTAAATGAGGTGCATAATCATGCTGCTTAAGTAAGCAGATGAAGTGGGGTAGATGGTCTGAAATTAAGTAGCCTGATCCGGTGTTAACTTTCTCCTGAACGAGATGTGAGTTTGTGGATTCAATTGTGAATGAGTATATGAGTGAAATAGTCTTGCTTTGCCCTGGTAGGGTTAGCTGGGGAACATTGCCTTTGCCTGTGGTAATTTTATAGTACGATGGGGCCTGTGACCTCATCTGCACCTGTTTTTGGCTGACAGGGCTGTATTTGACATAAAGTTATCCTTAATAATGTGTTGGGATGTTGCAGGAGGGTTCTCCACCGATTGCAGCTGAAAATAATTCCGATAACCAAGTTAATGAGAATTATCTTGCAGTTAAGTAGGTAATTGTGATCGARTTTCCCACTAACTGTGCTGAGAAGACTTTGAGCTCGCCTAACTAAATTGAGCAGCTGTGGTACAGAAACCGAATGCACTTGCAGGAYGCTGGAGCGAGCTGAGAGACCCACGCAGAGCTGCAGGGAGTGGCTTGAAGCCACACGYACCAGTCCAGGAAATGTGCAAAGTTTTCTTCATCTGAAAACTCCTGAGCACAGAACACATGATAAAATGGCTCCGACAGCAGCGCTTCCCCAGTGACTCATAAGAGGTGTGGTGAGGCAGCAGGCTGCTCGGAGGGGGGTTTGCAGCTTCCCCCTTGGTGGCTGCTTTGGCTTCCTCYGAGGCTCGCTGCTGTGGCACTGGGCAGGCACCGAGTTCCCTTTCGGCACCAGAGCTTGGCTGTCGCCTCATGGTGTGAACGGCTCTGCTGCTCCCCTGCAAGCAGCAACGCTGTCCTGCCCGGGAGACAGCTCTGCAACCCCCTGCCCTGCTTTCCTGGCAGGGGGCGGGTGGTTTTCACCACAGCTTAAGTGTTGGCTGCTGAAAGGGCCTCTGTTCTGTGAAGGGGCTGCCGTGCAGGCAGCTGAGCCACCRACCTTCAGGCCATTCCAGTCTCTTCTGCCACAGCCAACAACTCGCTCCAGTCTGGAACAGTAAGTGCTGGATTGAAGGACAGCACGGGAGCTCAAAGGAAAGAACTGTCCCTTTTCACAGCAGTGCTGGTGGGGACTTGGGCTTGGACTGCCACGTTAGTGACTCCTGCTTGAATCTGGGGAGGTCTTTGTGTCTGGGCGACGAGCAGGGAAATAGGTTGTTACTGGAAGCTTTGGGCTACCTATCTACTTTTGCCTTGAGTATAAGGTCAGAGAGTGCAGTCTCAGAGTTGTTCTTGGAGTTTTCTTTTTCTCAAGTGCTTTGTGAATATATAAAAACATAGGTATTCATGACCCTAGCACTGTCATACTAAAGATAATACATGAGATTTTTATCTCCAGTAGCTGTGAAAGGAGGAAAGGCTCCTGAGAGGTGTGTGTAAGTTCAAGGCTTGCTTGCTGAAATGAGAGCAAGCTGCTCATGTCAGAGCAGAGGAAAAATTAAATAAGGTCTTTTCCTTGTACACTAATCCCCCCTGCCTGCGGAGCTTTATAGGATTACAGGAATGAGCAAATCAAAGGAATTGCTGCTCAATGCTGCAGGGTTAGTATCACTTACAGTAACGCGAAGTTTCGGCTAGTTCGGAGGCAGCCCCCAGATAAGAGTCTGGACTCCGGATAYGGTGCCAAGGGTTACGGCAATCCCCGGCGCTGGTGATTCATCTCCCACAGGAGGCTCTYGCACCGTGTCTCCAGCAGCAGAGTAATTCCCTGCCTGTATGGGTGCTGCCCAAGCCCAGCGTAATGTCTTCAGCTGTGCCAAGCCAAATAAGTCTCTTTTCCTGATCAGATTCCTACTCGGTTCAGTTCTTGCTGAGGCTGCAACRTCTTCCTTGTTGCTAGTCCAGGTTCTTCCTGGGCCTCCTCATCCTCCTACCTTTTACTTCAACRTTACGCTTTTTGGATATTTACATTTTCCTGGCTCCCATTCCATTTTTGTTCTTTGATTGAGTGGGTGTAGTATCTCATTAACATTATGATAAGCCTTTGCTGCCTGATAATTTCTGTCTGATATGCTGTAGTGTAGGAGAGCCACTGATAGTGTCTTCTGATAGTTGTCAGCTCTGCAGGGATGAGTATTCAGCTTATCTGTGATCCAAAGGGGTGATTGCTCCTTCTCCAGCATCTCTTGCAGCGAGCCCTTCCAGGCGAGGTGGGATGCAGACAGTGGAGGCAGCTCCCTGAAAGGCTGAGTGTAAGATGGGGTTTCAGCTGCAGTTCTGCYCAACTTCATCATTTCCAAGGCCTATGCCTTGGTCTTTAGTGCTTTAGATCCAGATCAGTTAGTTAACTCGGAATGAAGTATATAGAAATAGTTTGTGTTCTGATAGCAAAACTCGAGTGCAGGGTGTATGGAGTATATGCTGGAGCTCTTCTCCCCAGTCCTTCGTATTTTGAAGGCTATTTTGGTGTCAGTTCTAACTAGCAAGTAGTGCTGATTTTTTTTTTTTTTTGGTATTAATATATCACCCTTTCTGACAACTGTATTGAAAGCTGGCTGCTCTTGAGCCTTTTCAAGTCAGAKGAAGGCTGGTGTGGCTGGGCAGTTCAGTTGCTTCAGAACTTGGCCTTGTTCAAGCTCCCCACCACAGGATGCTGAGGACTGGAGTCTCCTGGAAAGCAGGGGAAATGTGTGAGCTTCCATGAGGAAGGACATGATGTGTTCATTCTTCATGTTTTGGAGATGTGCTTGTTTGTATTAGTGCTCCAGTCAATATTCTTGGCTGAGAACAAGGTTGGATTTTAACTCCCGTGTGCTAACCAGTATCTTCGGTAGCTGCTTTGGAGCACGGCTGCAGTTGCTGCATCCTGGTCTCCCTTTCCCACTCCTGCAGTGCTCTCGCATCTCGCTGTGCTCCGACATTCCCAGCAGCTGCTCCCCATTGCCTGTTCCAGTAGCTCTCGAGAAGTCTTGGTATGAGAGTGGCTCATAGCCTACATCATCTTTGGGCTRATGTGTCAAGTCTTGTTCCAAGTCTGCTCTGTACTTCTGTACATGTTAATATTGGAGTAAAAAACTGCAGATTAGTGATTTCAGTCCCTTCCCTTTATGAGTAACTAGCAAGGGCTGAGGGAAGAGCATCTCTCTGTTTCCACGCTGAAAGTATCCTGCCTKTGTTGCTGTGTGTAACAAACACATTTATCCTTCAGGGTTGTTCTGCCTTACCCCTCTGCTCCATGTTCTTGCAGAAGAGAAGACAATAGGAATTTTGTGGACCAATCAAGCCCTATAAAGTGGTGCCAGTTGTAGTCAGTAAGGACAAGCTACATGGAAAAGAGCGGACTTTGAGCTGGGAAGTCCCTGAGGTGGCTGAAAGGCTCTTTGGAGGAAGATGCAGTGGCTGCTTCCTCTGTTTTTGCYGTCCCTTTCTGCCCACGCAGCTCTGGGGGTTGGTGTGAGTGGAGTTTCAGGATAAATTGCTTGTTCTCTAATTATCAGTAGACTAGATGAGGCCCTAAAGCCCTGCAGTGACAGCAGCTGATTTTTAAACTGGCAGATCAAGCAGCCCTGCTGTAAATGATTTGCCTTTCCCATGCTCCAGGTGAGGATATGGAATGTGTTAATGGGTCCGGCCCATTCCCATTAAAAGCCAACTGATGGTTCCTGTTTTAGTAGTCCAGGGACTACTAAACCTACATTGACCTGTAACGGTAGTGGGGGAAGCTTCACCAGAATTACTGAAAATTACTGCTAAGTGTCTGTGGAGGAAACAAATACATGAACAAAACCTCTGTCTTTGCTCTTGCTGATATAATAGGTAGGGCTTTTTTCATCCTTTAGCAAGGAGGGGACCTCTGGACTGTGCCAGTGTTCTTGGTAGGCAGCTGTTAACTGAGAGCAAGTCAGCAGAGGAGAAGAAACAGTATCAGAGGAAACGTGGGGTCCTGCCACAGAGAAATGACTTCAAGAACAAAGAAGATGCTCATCAGGTGTTGTGAAAAGACAAGCATCAAGCTGTAATGGAATACATGCACGTGCTTACAAGGGACTGGTTTCTGCAGACTTGAACTTTTAGGGAATTTCTACAGATAATGAATTATGAAATTCATTATGAATTATTATGAATGCAATTGAATACAATGATGAAATGCAAGCCAGTTATCAAAAATACAAAGGAGTGTTGGTCACATTGGTGGAACTGCTTTTCTTTTTGGTGAGTGCTTGCCTCCAAACTGTGGTGTACAGCTCTGCCCCTGCTAAGGTGAACTCTGATAAAAGTGTATGTGTGTGTGTGTGTGTTTGATATTAATTTAGAGGATCTGCATGTTTAAAAACTCAGGTCTTGAGTTAGTTGGCTCAGTTACATTTTCCAAAAATGCTTGCAAAATACTATTTTGTTTTCCTGAGTGATGTAGTGTTTCACTTAGCRCCAGTGCCAAGCCCAGGCTGCAGGAGAACTTAAAACCTCTAGTTGTTCTCGGTAGTTTTAGTTGTCACTTTAAGATACTAAACTCCTTTCTACAGTTTGTTGTAACCAGTTGTTACCTGTTTGTCTTGTTTACTACCAGAATTAGTGCAAAAAGTTCAGTAATGATTCTGTATGGAAAACTAGCTGTTGCACACTGTGGGTAAAGCTGATTTCACTTTGAATGTACCTGGAATGTGGCTTTCATTAGCTATTTTGTTTAAATTGCAGATAAAACTCAGAGGAAACTTGCACAGATGCTGCTTTGGAGAACTTTCAGCCCAGGTTGCAGAGCTGAGCCTTGGTAAACCTGTCTCTATTACAGCACATTGCCATACATCTAAGTGCATAAGGTTGGTGGCCTCCAGGATCCACACACCTTGACCAGAATGCTTAGCATGTTTACCATAAGTTTAAGAAATCTGTTCTTTACCTATCAGTCCTTTTATAGCTTTCTAAGTTCATATAATGGCTAATATGCAAGAGTTCATTTTTTTAATATTTTAATTGATTTCTTTAATCAATTTCTGAACTTGTATTTATTAAATACTTAAACTCAGTATTACCTACTCAATGCCTTTTAAAAGAAGAGAGTTTTAATGGAGAATAAATTGAGCCTTAAACAAATGGTTACTTCTGTATATTACCTCGCATCAGTGCTTATTTCTCTTAGCAAATTTTTCTCCTACAAGATAGATGGTCATTCTTTGAGACGTTTTGTTTACGTGTGACAGTGTCATGAAAAGATACTGAAGGCACCTCAGTTGTATGGATGTAGTATCCCTTTTCTTGGCAAATGCAGCTGTGACAGTGTGTAACTGGTCTGATTTGGTGATTTTTGATAATTGAGATGACTTGGAATGGGATGCAAAGTCTCCAGCTGATTTTTTTTTTTTTCTTGCAATCATGGGTTTCTTAAGCCCATTGAATCAAAAATGACAATTGTAGCATTGCAGTATGGCAGCACGCTCTTCCTTCTACTGAGTTCCTAAACGTGTGTGTTTACAAATAGYTTCTCTCTGCCTTTGAAAAGGGATAATGTATCCTCCCAAACGGGCTGCCTGCCTGATCAGAGTTAGCTCAGCTTTGCCTGGCACATTAAGTGACATCTAGTGGACCTCTGCACATGTAAATCTAATGCAAATAAGATCACTTTACATTTTAGACTTCCTAATATTTGTCTTTCTGAATAATGTTTTAAAGCAATATTTGTTAATTTTTTTCCTTGCACTGTCACAAATTGCTTTTTAGATTTTTTTTCCCAATAAACAAGTTTAATGTTAGAGACAAGTTGGTGTAATGAGGGGAAAGCACCAGGTTTCAGTGATACTAACTGCAAGCGTGCTTTAAACAGCCATTGCCTTCCGTATTGTTTACCTGATCAACATATTTTCTCTGAATACTTGAAAACTTTAACAATAACACAGGTATAAAGAGCTGAATGAAAATGTACAAAGAGCAGACGAAATCTTTTTGTTCAGTTTTATTAACATGTTGCATACATGAGAGCTTTTTCTAGCAGTGGTTTAAAATGTGTGCTTTTATTTTGCAGAAGTTTAACTGCAGCTCACCTACTGCACCAAAGTTCTAGGTTTTTAGGAGCCCAGCTTTAGTCATTTGAACATGCTTCTAGAAATGTACATTTTTTTTTTCCTTGGAATAGCTAAATAACTTTGAGAAAAGCTCTAGTAAAAGCAGTGATGGATATATGAGGTTAAGCAGTTTCAAACTCACTAAATGTATTGTGGATGATGGCGTTGAAAACAATAAAAGATCTCCGGTACAGTATCRCAACATTAATGTGTTTTATTGGTAATAATTCAGGCTGACTTTACAGTATTGAGCGGATATAGAGATTCTGGCTCTAGATTCAGTGTTGAATTTGAATTTTGAAGTGAGGAGAACACCAAGTTTTCTGCTTGGGTATCAAAACATCTGACTTTCCTGTGGGGTTACTTGAAACAATTTTTTGGATGTGTTCTTCTGTTGTTGTTGTTTTTGGTTTTCCCCCCTGTTTGTGCAAATTTTATAACCAGGCTGAGGCTAATATTTAGGTTTGCACTTTAATATCAGAATTAAACCAAACCCTGTTTTTGAACTAGCTTTTTAAGTGGTATTGATCTTTTTTCGTAGGTTGTAAGGAAGTAATAGGAAATACAAGTAATCCATAAAGATCTTTAGCTTTCCTTTTTCTAAGGGGGGGAAAAAGTTGGTTAATATTAATTGGTGGTTCATTCCTATGGGTAGTTATCAAACCAGTGTTCATTTTCATTGACCTCAGCACAAAAAAAATAAAAAAAAAAAATAAAAAAAAATAAACTTGAACTAGCTTAGAGTGACAGGAGTGGGAAAACGAGAGATGGTTTCTGCAGCACACTTTGGGGGGAAGAAGGGACCAAAAGTTATTTTAGGCTTCCTCAATAGATTGCATGTGAAGTTGCTTATTAGTGTAAGAGGCTAATAATAAATGCAATACGTATTGTCTTTCTATGGCATCTGTTTAGGAGTTGTTCAAATCACTGCAGTAGGGCTCTACAAATAAAAATGTAACCTAACATCATGTATCTAATGTACTGTATCTTTATCAGTGATAGGTGAAATCTGGAATAACAAGTGCAAAAATGGAACAATTACCTATAATGCTTTGTTTAAAAAAAAAAGTTTTCCAGTAGACTTCATTCTYGTCATTTTGTAAGACAACCCTACAGCCCACCTGTTTGTAACTTTTTTAATAAAATAGATATCTGTATTACCAATTTGGGGTGACTAGTCTGTTTCCAAGCTCTCCTAAGCGGCCCGACAGCCCGGTCATTATTGATTTATTTGTTCTGAGGTTATTGTGAGCCAGCAGCTCCCGCCTCCCTGCTGTGGTGCCTGGACACGAGGTAGGAAGGGGAGCCCCGAGCCGCCTCTGTCCCGSCTGCTCCGAGGAGGAGGTTGGAGATCCGAGTGTCGTCTCCGGGAGCAAGGAGGGCTCTGCTGGACCCGGGGCTCCCTGGGGCACCCGCTCCCGGGCAGCCAAGGGGTCTCCCCTTGTGGCCCAGGTAGAGCCGCTTCCTCCCGGCGCTGGCTGCGCTCGCCGCATTCCTGCTGCTTCCGAAGCCCTCAAGCCTCTCCCTTGTGTTTGTGGCGCTTCCTTTCTCACCTTCTTACAGGATTGATCTGAAGCTTTGTTCYAAAACCCATGTTTTCTTGTCTTTAACCTTATTGTTTTGTACACTTTGCTAGGTGTCTGGTGTGTGTTGCAGTTGCAGTGGATGCTGAGTGATCTTCCTGCTGCCTTCCCCAGTCTCTGCTGTGCTAATGTACCCATAGCAAACTGCGCCCTGCTGGAGCCCGGCTTGTGTGAGAAGCAGAGTATTTTCCTTCACCCCAGCAAGCCTGTGGAGAGCGGCCAAAGGTGTTAGGCTCCTGGAACATTTAGGATAATGGTAATCCAAATATTCCAGTAAAAGCCTTGGGTTTGGTAAGTCAGTTATTGGAGTCATCAGGGCCTTAAGAGCAGGAGTTTGTCTTCCACTGATCTCTAGTGTTCAGTACTGATCTCAAGTGGAGTGAATGTGACTAAAGCCACCTGCTAATATAAAATGCAAATTAAGCTCTGCGAAAGCTTGCTCTGTTAGAGCCAGCTTCAATCATCAACTGTAGCCCAGCAGAAGCACTTGGCTACTTCTCATCCTGCTTCTCCTGCCCTGAGGGGAAATGACAGAGAAAAGAGGAGGTTTCCCATTAATTGGACACAATGCTGGCTTCCCTTATTCTCCTTCCCAAGAGCACTGGTGACTCAAGTTGCCCTGTTCTGCCTGGACCTGATATACTGGTAAACATGGGAATTAATAAGGCCAGTCACCAGGCTGCCATGTGCATCTGTTTTTGCTTGTGTGTGGCTTAAAATAAAAGATCATAATTCAGCCACAGCTTCCCAAGTTCCTTGTGAAGCTCTCAGCTCCTTCCCGCTGCTCTTGGAGTCTGGGAGCTGCCTGCAGGTCCAGCTGGAGATCGGTGCAGCTTTCCAAGCTTTCCACCATGGGTTCGTCTTGATGTGACCACACGGAGCGGTCACGTTGGGAGCTGCAAGGACACACTTCAGGTCTGTGTTTAAGAGTGGTACCTCTCAAAAATCTGAATGCTGGGGGTCGACTCAACTGGTTCACTCAACTGCTGGCCATGTGGTTAAGTAGTGTCCTGCCTGACAAAGGTATGACAGGTTGGTGTCACTTGAGAAAGCTGGTGGGATGGTTTAGGGAATCTGTATGTACAAGTCTCCGGATGCTTCTCCTCTGGTCTAGCAGTCCCTGCTGTAAAAGCAGCCGGGCCCTGCGGCAGGTCTCCGTATYGTGTCCCCCTGTGCTTGGCACCACGATGACCTCCTCTGTGGTTGGGAAGCAGCCTGAGCTGCAGCAGAGCCCAGCGGGCGCTTCCCCCTGTGCCACAGGGCATGGGAACGCACCAAGGACCCGCCGGTGGCAGCAGCAGGAGCTCTGCAGTTTGCAGGGGCACAAAGTAGAGTCCTAAGCGAGGTGGAAGTGCCCTGTCGTAGTTAAAATGAGATGGGGCTTCTCTAGCAGCGTGGAGAAAATCGGTGGCCCCGGGAGCTTCGTTTGCCTTCGGCTGCCTCTTGATTCTCCGCTTGCTCGTGCCTGGAGGAAGCAGCGCGCGGCCCGAGCGGGCTCGGCCACGAGGGAGAATCCCCAGGTGAAAGTGCGGCCACAAACTCCTCTGATGCAGCAGCAGCCTCCAGTAGTGCCCAGTCCCTACGACTGGGAGCAGCAGCCTCCAGTAGTGCCTGGTCTGCAGGGCTGCCGGGAGCAGGCGGGATCCAAGAGCCCTGCTCAGCCCAAGGGTCACGTCCTGCCTGGAGCTGTCGGCTCCAGCGAGGGCAGCACTGAGCTTGCAAAGGGTTTTCYGTGCAATTAGTGTGCAAGAGAAAAAAAAACACGATTCTCCAAGGAAACAGTGTATTTTGATATGGAATTAGTAAGAAAAAACAAAAAGGCTTCCTCACCTTTGGTGTTCCCTTTCAAAGCTGAGTTTCTCTTCAAGGCCCTTTGCAGAATCCGGAGCTACCTGCAGTATTTGCTGAGGGAGAGTCTCGTTTTGCAGGAACCTGAAAYGTATTCCCTGACGGGCAACCTTTGCTGTTTGTGTTGCTTCGTGTTTGCTCCCTGGGGCGCTGTGGGTTCCATCTGAGCGCTCTGCGACAGCTTCCTACCAGGGAATTATTTCCTCCAAATCGTGTTTCCAGTGATTAAGGCTTTGCAACAGGTCTCGTCTCAGGTGAAAAATGTTAGTTGCAGCACTTCCCTGCTGTAATAATGTGGGAGGCTGTGTGAAGAACCATGGGATGCTTGGAATTACCTGGAATCATGTTGTAGAATCATTCYGAAATTGGACTTTTTGCATGCCACAGGCTGGGACATTAAGGGAAATGCATATGACAGCCATGTCGGTCATATCTTTGTGATACTGAAAGTTGTCRCATTTTGCCTTAAACTTCCCATGCCTGTTCTGAAATGCACACTTGATAAATAACCACAGCTCAGTAAATTAAACAGGCAATCAGCTTTGGGGAGATTTTTGGCTCCCTGAGCTYGTTTTCTTGCTTTTTCCTGCCTTTAGGCTGTCTACTTCATCCAATTATATGTCCTTAGGAGATGTGTCTTGACATGAGACTTAAATTATCTGGTCAGAGCAGAAAAGAGGAAATATATTTGCTGTTTGTGACATTCCTGAAGGGCTGCTGGTCCTTTTGGGAAATGGCAGAAGGAGGGATTAATTGGCGACTTGGGATTCCTCCTACCACTGAGGCAGACCTTAGACCCTTATTCTTAAAAGCAAGTTAACAGCAATCATGGAATCGGCCACAGCAAGCCCACTGTGGGAAAGCAAGAAGAAATAAGCTGAATTTCCAGCAAAACTGATTTATGTTGGAAATGAGGAGGAGAAAAAAAACCAAACTTTTTTTTAGGATGGTTAAAGCCCCGCTATTGGAGATGGTAGAATGTATTCCATGAGAATTTTTGGAGACAACATAACTATGGATAACTATTTGCTGGAGGAAGGGGAGGAAGTGATAAGCAGAGAAGTTCCTGCTTTAATACAGCCGGTTGCCAGGAGCCGTCTCTCCCAGTCCTTGAGCCCTGTGTTGCTGTGACCTCRGCTCCATCACTGATCCCATCGCTTYCTGTTCCGGGAAGGAGCACAGAGCTGCCAAATGCCATGTGTCTAATCTCAGTAATGCRAATTTTTCTTTTTTAAAAATAGGTTTGAATAAAGATTTTTAGCTTCAAGGCCTGTGCATGGTCGAGATGTGGTAAGAAGCACTTTCYRGCAGTAAATGGTTCCTTTGGGGGACACATCTGTTAGCTAAAACATTCCTTCGGAGTGGCAGCTCTCTAAGCTGTTTGAAATGTCAGCACGGTGTCTCAGGCCGTCTGAACTATCTCATCTTGGGGGTCCTAGTRATAATTTTGGAAGGCTTTATGAGCGTTCCTCTCCAAGCTTGGCCCAGCCTTGGTCTAGGCACGTTTCCTGTTCTTTGAACGGCGTCTGTCCCGCAGCCACCACCCTCCAAGAAGGCCACGGAGGAGGCGCCGTGAAGCAGGGGTTGCCTTTGATCACCGAGAAGCACCAAACTCCCAACCTCAGGTGGAAACCGCTCTGTTTCCCTCCACTTCCCGCACCGAGGAGCGGCTTCAACACCACCTGAGCCCTGCWTGGAGCTTTGTACCTGGGATCCAGGAGGACCTGATAGGACTGAAATGTGATAAGTATCTTTTAAAGGAGGTTAAAAGGAAAAGAGAGTGGGGGAAGAGAGGCTACTTGGGAGGGAAGCGTGTTAACAAAACTCAGGATCAAGATCCATATGGTGAGATGGGGCTGATCCATGAGCCTGGAGGCACCTTGGGAACACGTGCAGTTCTTTGCCTAGATGTAATCAAGGATTAATCAAGCAGAGCTAGTTGTCTTGAGCCAAGAAGGAAACCACATCTGTCATGCACATAAGCAACCTAGTTCCGTGGAACCCCATCCCTTCCTCTCGCGTTCGAGCTCCGCGCCCGGTGTTACGGACTCAGTTTGGCAGCTTCCTTGGAATCYGCCTTTGGCTCTAGGACCCTCCCCGCTGATGCTGGGAGATTTTCTGGCATTTTATCCCCACGAGCAGAAACCCTGCCCAGCTGCCGTTCCGATTTCTGGTGCAACGTGGGGTTTTTGCAGCCAGGGTTTGTTCGTAGCTGGGCAGCAGGGTCTGTGSTTTGTCCTTTGGGGTTATAAGCTGGGGATCTCCTCATCTCCAGGAGCAGGAGAGCCTTSGGGAGGAGGGTTGGTTGGTTGGGTCCTGGCAGCGCTCACAGGGACGGAGTCTGGGCACCGGGCGGCCTCGGCGTGGGACCACAGGATAACAGGGCATCCCAACACAAATTCCCACGTAAATCAGCCTAACCAGGGGATTTGCAAGTGCAATTGTGCTCGAGGCGATCGGAGGAATGGTCTGTGCCTGAAGCAAATTAAGACCAGCATATGCAAGTCCTGCTTGCTGCTCCACGACACAGATTCAGTGCCATGTCTCCACCTGGCTAGAAATGTAGTCCTTTGGTGCCCCTTGGACCTGATGTAGTCACAAGGCTCTTCCTTTTTGCACGTGTATCTTCCTCATCTCTTTCTAAGCAGTCTTTCCACACTAACCGTCAAGTGTTTTGAGGTAGTTGTGCCAACAGCAAAGCGCAAGCAGCRCATTAAAAATGACATCAGGTGTCGTTCTGGGTAGCACCAGGGCTGGGCTGCAATTTAGGTTTCTTGTGCAGCTGCTGCTATCATTTACATTTGCTGATGTAATTTATAGCAAACTGCTATTCATTCAGTTCCTGGTACTAGTTTTTTTACATCGCATATAAAATCTGAAAAAAAAAAAATGAAGAAAAGACAGTGGTATACAGGGATGGTTGCAGGAAGGTTGTGCTGCTCGTGCACTGAATTGCCCATTCCTGCCGCATTTACTGTGTTGTTTTTGGGCACAACGACCACAAGAGGGAGCTTGGAGGTGAAGCTCTGGTTCCTCTCGCTGTGGTTTTCCTCCAGAGCAGGGCTGAGCTCTCTTCTTGCAACCGTGCAGGTCCTGGAGAGAAGAGCTTTTGAAGCAAGTTGCTGTTTCAGGACTCTGGTTGCCTGCCCTGGATATCTCTTAGCAAGACTTCAAATAAAGGTTCGTGCTTGTGGTTATTCTGTCTAACAGGTGCCTGGAGTTGCAGATGATACTTGGGAGGGTTTTTGCGTGTAAGCAAGGATTATTTGCCATTTCCTGCTCTGTTAGTGCAGCTTGATAAAAAGAGCCAGGGGATTSCACTGAAGTTGAAGTTAAATAAACGTACTCGCAAGAATAGGGTCTGTGCAATGGGGCTCTGCTCCACTGAATGGCAGAGACTCGCTAAAACAAAGCACGGGGAACAGCATGAATGAATTTGGCTTAGTGCTTAACAAAGCTAAACCTACTTTTTATTGCAGTCTAGCCCAACTTAAGCCCTGCTGTGAGCTTTCCTGCAGAGCAGCTGGCCCCTCCTCAGTCTCATCAAGTTTTGCTCAYGCAGTTAATTAACGTTGATGAGCACCAGGGTGTCCATTGAGTGTCTTTCCCTGAGTGGGATTAGCACTCTTGCATGGCAATAAATAGAGCTGTAAATGGGAATGTTAGAAGAACAGACCCCAGATATCTCAGATATGAAGGACTGATGTCTTGGGCAGCATTAGAGAAGCCTGGAGAGAGGGAAATGCTGCCACGTAAAGTCACTCTGGTGACAGGACAGAGAAACCCAGTCCTGCAGCTGGAAGGTAATGAGCAGATTATACCTAAGCCACAAAATTAAAAATGCAACAATTTGAGTTTCCCCAGCAATTACATGAGTAATAGGTTGCAAGCACAGTGATGTCAGGCTCTTTAGCTGGCGTTTGGCAAGGGCAGTTTGGTAGAAATGCAAATGTGGCATTGTTTATTGTATTTAATAAATAGAATGGCTCTGGAGCTGAATTTTTCAGAAGCCAAAGACTTGCCCAGTCCATTGTAGCTGTAGAGATAGGATCAAAATAACTTGGGAAGTCAATGAAAAATAATATTCATCGTTAAAGACTTGAAAATCTTCTATTATTTAGGGCCAATCATTGATATTTTCCCAAAAAGAGTCTCATTTGAGAGCTGCCAGGGAGGTGTGATTTTGCCAGATGTTCTTGTGGGTTTTTTTGTTTTGTTTTCTATAGCTTTTTTTATGCAGGGATGGGCCGGTGCTTTACAGAAGACGGGATGAGTTTGCCGGGTGCTTCACCCCGTGGATTAGCAGCACAGTCAGGAACAAAACGTTTCCTGTTACCTCCAGCTCCTTCTCCTTCCCACACTCTGTAACCAGTGGCAACAGGAGATCCAGGAATGACTAAATCCTTGGAAGGTCTCCGCTCTTACGCAAGGCTGCAAACGGGAAGCGTCTTCGTGGCCTCCTGTGCAGAGCTGGAGGAATGCGAGGCTGGAAGGACACTGGACCAGCCCACCTGTCTGGGCAGGACGCAGGGCCCTTGGAGCATCTCCGACATGTGTTCTCCCCATAGCCTTGGAGCACAGCTGATCATTCTTACTGAAACGGGCTGCCACACACTAGGAGACTGCGGTAGTTCCACTTTCTCTTCTAAACTAAACAAGCTCAGAGCTTTCAGATGCAGATATTCTCCCTTTTTTCCTTCTCTTTTTCCAATTTTCGTGCACTGACTTGGCTGTGTTTCCTAAGCAGCTGCTCATGTTCCTCTCCTCTGCCTAGTGCTCTTCAACGAGGCCCTTGGCTGTCCCCGTGCCTGCTTCCAGCAGCGATGGAGCAGGGATTTTGCTGGCCCTGCAGCTGGGAGATTGATGCTGTGGGTGAACACGGAAGTTCTCCTGGCAACTGATGGGTTTGTGCTAAAGAAGGAAGGAGCTAAAGCAAATGTATGAAACACCACCACGGACCAAAGTCCACACAGGTGAGGTCCTGTCCCTTGCCAGGAACAAATGCTTGGAGCGTGCAGAGCAGGATTAGTGCAGTACTGCCCTCCTCCTTGTCAGCTGGGTATGAGCTCTTGCCCTTTGGCTTACAGTGTTTAAAATCCCCTGGCAAACCTCCCTCCTGTGAGTCTGTCATCTCGTCTTCCTCCTTTTCTGTCCTCTGAAATGAATTTGATGGTAAAAATGACAAAGCGCAGGGGCTGTAAGGGCAGTGACTCAGCTCTGCATCAGCAGGCTGGGAGGCTGGAGAGGTCACGGCTTCCAGGAGCAAGGAGGGAGCAATGAAACCAACCCTAAGAACCAGGAGGGAAAGTCTGTCCTGACCTTTGGAGGAAATTGGACCTTCTGCTTTGTTCTGCTAGGTCCATCCTGGCAAGCAACRAGAGGCCAAAAAAGAGCCCAGCCCAGTGCAATGCAACCCTACGCACACTCGCAATCCCGCGTGCAACCAAGCAGCTCAGTGGGTGAGAGCTGGTGCACGGAAACATCCTCCCGGGAGAGCTGGTAGGGGGGCTCCAGAGCCCCGAAAACCCAGGCCAGGGCGGGATGAGGCAGTCCGCTCGCCGGTGCCGTTGCTCCCCRCTTTGCTGTCCCGTATTCACGTTGTGTTCCCACGTTATTCCCCAAGAGGGTGGATAAGGAGGACAGCCGTGCCTGGCTGGAGGTCGGTGGTGACTCAGGGCTCCCTGCGCTGCTCCGTCCAGCTGCAGCCACCCAGCAGGAGGAAGGAGACCGGCTCTTCTCCTGGTTGTTACTATCAGGATGGCRGAAATCCATTTTGGAGCCTACCAGGCTGCTCTTCCCTATAGCTGTATGGAAAAGCGTACAGGATGATGCTGATCCATGGGTGCTCTATGGTTTTCGTCTTTACAGCCCGGGTACCTATTAAGGGCACCGTCTGAGAGGCTCCATCCTGACACACCTGGGCTATTTGGGGAGCATAGGGGGGAATACGGCAAATGGCTCTGCTGCTGGGAAGCCACTCACAGCAGATGTTTCATAGGAAGCAACAGAGAAAGCAGGAAACAAAATCTCAGTGACATGTAACACAACACTTCAAAAGGAGTGTCATAATGCAGTTTTGTTGTATATATGTGTTTATTTCTTTATATATATATCTCACATATATAATTTCATCTCGTCGTGGAGCTAGCAGGACACTTCTGGTCACATTAGCCAAGCACAAGGGCTAGCTGTGCACTCTGTGCTTTAATGGAAGTGAACCTGAATTAAGAGGCTGCTGCTCTGTGGCTGGAGAGCATCTCAGCCCCTTAGCAGGAAATCTGACATTTGGGAGAAATGTCTGGATTCTCCCCCAGGAGCTGCAGGAGCTCTGTGCCTACCGGAGACCACCTTGGTCCCACCAGCGCAAACCCTGCAGCACAGCGAAGCCGTAATAAGGAAAACATCCCTTAACCCAGCGGTGATGTTTAGACCTGGGGGTGGCTATCAGGGCTTTTTTCGACCTGCTTTTAGGCTTTCTGTTACTTCGCTGCAGGGAGAAGCTGCACGTGCGCTCGCCATCCAGCTGAGAGGAGGATGATGATGATGTTTGCGACTGCCTGCTCAGTGTGCTAGCGCTCCCGCGCCCGCTCCAGGATGCTGCAGCTCAAGGTCCAGTTTCTGGATGACTCCCAGAAGATCTTCGTGGTCGATGTAAGTTTGCATCATCTTCTTAATGTTTCGGGCTGGTTCGTGCAATCGTTGCTGCTCGGGAGCATTGCATAAGCCTCTGCTGGGCTGCGAGAGCTTCTGCGTTTCAGCTTTGCAAAAGGAGGGGGAAAAAAGTGAACAAAGGCAAAAAAAAAATCCCAAACCCAAACTGAGAGCTCATTGTGCTGATTGCTAAGTGTCTTTCAGCACCAACACACTCCTGCTGTCCGCCCCTATTTGTGTTATTTATAAAGCACGAGGAATGGTTTTTACTTCTCTGGTGTCATCTTGTTGGAAATCAGCTAATGTAATGCGATGGTCTTGACAAGTGTGGAATTCTGTTTGCATTTGTTTGGATGCCAGTAACAGCATCCAATAAGGAAGGAAATCTGGGAACAGAGTAAAAATAACATATCCCTCCGAAGTACCCATGGTGAGAAACATCTGTACGTGCCTCCCTTCTGGGGTACTTGATTGGAAAGGAAAACTGCGTGGCTTTGAGGAGAGCTGAGGATCGTGGACGTTGTTTTCTGTAACACAGTGTCCCAAAGCACACTGTCATTTGCAGTTCACACTTAATAAATACTAGCTCTGAATTATAGCTGTTGAAATGTATTTCAAAGGTTGTGTTGATATCTCTGATATTATAGATTATATATAAATGTGTTAATATATCTGGAGTAGTTCAATATARAGTGGTATCCTGTATATAATTTGGAAATTTAATCTTCTTACAAGAGTGATTGAGCATTTGCTGTTGATTAGGATGTGATAATCACAGTAGAAAACTGAACTGGATAACTCAAGTTGATCTACTTAATACTTATCTGCATACTTATACTTATCTGGGAGGAAACTGTTTTATATAAAACTATTCTTCAAGTTGCATTACATTCCTTAGATAATTCTGTTTTCTATTTTATAGCATAGAATGTCTGCACAGAAAAATGTCTGTTCCCTCTCAGAAGTACTTTAGTTTCTCCGCAATCGCYGTTTTGAACAAAATAGTATTGTAAAGTAATTCCATCCTATGGAAGTTTAATGTGACTCAATTTATGTATCATAGACCTGGAGTCAGCTTAAACACAAGCCTGGTTATTTAAAAATGCTGKTTTTTGCACTAATTATCTTGGGGAATAGTGAAAGATAATTTGAATGGTGCCGCTGCCACCAGATTGCTGCCCTTTTCCATTTCTGCTTTCTTCTTTGCCCCAAACACTTACACTACGATAGCTCTGCACAACGTTACTGCAGCAAATAGCTTCCATTAGAGGAACTACGTGACATTGCCTGGTTTTTTTAACATGGGAAGCGATCGGAAACCCCTCCTAGGCATTTCATGCATTTGATGCCTTATGGTTACGATAAATGAGGAGCTGAATTAGTGGCTTGGCCATCATAAAAGCACTGCTTTGGGCTAAGTTTGGAGGAGCTATTTCAAGCAACTCTTCCTAATCCCTTCTCGGCTTTGGAAAGCTCTTTTGTTCTCACGGTATTTCAGTATAAAGGGAAGGAAAATGCAAGGGGCAAAATACGGCGGGTTTCATTCCCCCTTGTGCTTGGTGTATGTGCGTCCCCCTCCATCTCCTGTGGGCATCGGGGTCTCCAGGGTGTGGGACAAGGTCTGATTCCCAGCCTGGCATCGTGGGGACGTTTTCACCTGCAGCTTGGCCGTCCCCAAGCTCAGCCCTTCTTCACTGCTGGGTGCGGGGCAGCCACGGGCTGCTGGTTCCCAGCTCTCGCCTGCTGATTTATTGCTCCGCGTGCCCTGATGTTGGATTCAGGTCGTGTTCAGGCCCCTGCTCCGCGTCGCTCTCGGCGTGGGATGCGCCCGGGCTTTCTGCTGTGGTGTAAATGCAAAACCTGCCACTGAGAAGAGTYGGTGCTGGGGCCAGAGACACCCCGAGGGGGCTCGGAGGCTTCGCTGTGGGATCCCGCGCGCCTGCAGGGCTGGGATCACATTGTGTGTGATGCACTTGTGCCAACGCACCGTGCTGCGCGGGTGGTGCCTGGTCAGGGCAGCCTGGTGGCGGCTTTGCTGGGCGCCTGGAAAAGGCCGAGGCTTTTCATGCTGCCGAGTTCCAGCCTGGACAATCAGTATCTGCAATTGCTCTGATTGCCCCGGCGAGCCGGGGGCGAGCACTGTTATTAGGCTATCACTTCTTGCAGCCTCGTGGCACAGAACTAGCAATTTTGTGCTGGGAGAAGCCTGAAAGGTTGTGATTAGCGGCGAGGAGGGAGGGCTGAGGAGCCGCAGCTGCAGGAACCCATCCCGCGGGGATGGGGATCGGCCCCATCCCGCGGTCCCTACTTGCTTCGGCACCAAGCAGGAGTCTTTCCAGCACTGCCATCCCGAGTTTTGCTGCTTTCTGGAGCATGTGGGATGGCCAAGCAGGCTCTCAGAGGCCGGGCATGTTCAGCAAAGCCACTTATTTACCCTTGGGGGATTTCAGTAGCCCTCATATGTGTATTATATGTATGAGAACACGTAAGGACCAGGCTCCCTTCGCTGCGTGTGGGGTGGCTGGGGTGGCCGGCGCTGCTGGGAGCCAGTGYGGGCCCTCAGGAGCTGGGGATGGAGCTGCTCCCACAGCGGCGGTTCCAAAACCCCWAATGCATTTTTTTCCTCTCTCATTTTTCTTTCCTGCTTATTAAGTTCTGCCATAAAGCGCCGAGGAGGACTCTGATTTCCAGGAGCTGAGGGAAGGGGCAGGCTGCACATCTGGTCCCCTCCCACGTGCCGARGGAATTGCTTCCTTCAGGAAAAATCCCATAGATCCTATTGAGGGGGCAGAAATATTTTCCTGGTCCCACTGAAATTCTGTCCTCTCTGCTCTCGGCATCCCCTTCCCTGCTGCCTTCACCATGTGCTTGTCCCACAGCAAAAATCCTGTGGCAAAGGGCTCTTCAACCTGACCTGCAGCCACCTCAACCTTGTGGAGAAGGAGTATTTCGGGCTGGAGTTTCGGAGCCAGGCTGGGCATCATGTGAGTGATCCCGGATTCCCCTCTCCAGCCTCCTCCCAAGGTGCTAGCAGGGCTGGCTGGAGTCTTTTATTGCTTCTTGCTTGATGCCGAGACTTTTATTCACCCGATTCTTCACTGCCTTATTTCAGGTCTGGCTGGAACCACTCAAACCCATAACAAAACAAGTAAAAAGTAAGTATTTTGCAAACGAATCTCTGTCAAGGACAGCCTGTCCCAGGTGGATTTGCACACTCTTTTGTGCTCGGGGAAGGGGCCACGGTCTCTGGCATTTACCTGGGCTCCTTTCATCGTCTGAAGCTGGGTAGCAGCAAAACCGCTGTCCTTGCCGTGGTGGCCGAGGAGGAGGGGATGCTCGGAGGGCTGTGTGTGCCTGTGTGCAGGAATCCCCCATGGAAGGGGAAAAAAGCTGCCCCTTCGATGTGCACCGAGTCACCTGCATGCACCCCTGCCCGTTCCTGCTGCCCCAGGAGGGTCACATTCCCCTGCATCCAGACTGCCCCCCTTTTCCACCAGCCTGGCGTTTAGCTCCACGTGCCGGTGTCCGTAACGAGCCCTGCCAGACTCCAGCAGGACCTGGGGCAAACTGCAGTTGCGAGGGATGCTGGAGCGTTTCCCTGAGCTCATTTCCCTTCCCAAGGCCGGGCTGTGGGTGGGTGAGTTGTCCCGGGGCAGGAGGGAGCCCCGGTGCTCGTGGCTTTCAAGTCCTAATTCGCAAGGGATCAGCTTACTCTGGCAGGAGGCAGCATGTATGAAGCGAGTTGTAAATGTTCTCAATAGAYACAGAAAAGAAAACTTATGAGGTGTTGTGTTTTAAGATCCTAAGGAGGTTCTTTTCAAATTTATGGTGAAATTTTTCCCAGTGGACCCTGGACATCTGCGAGAAGAGCTGACCAGGTAGAGTGTTTGCTCAGTTCCCTTCTTCCCTTCCCTTCAGCCCTGTCGTTCTGCCTTTGCTAAGCGTGTGTTTAAACTCCTTATCCTCATCCACCTGAGCCTGTCTGTTAGCAGGGCTAGCTCTGTGGAGTGAAACAGCTTTGTACTCGGCAAAACAAAACAGAAAGGTCTTTTCTTGAGCCTCTGTTTATAAGGAAATGACAATCCACTCAATGGATCAGCACTCTCAAGAGGCTCCAACTCACTGCTGAATTTCTAGTAGTTTTGCAGAGAGTTTGACTTTGCTCAGTCTGGCTGCACGTTGTATTCTGAAATGAGGACTTTAATTTTTTAATAATAATAATATTTATATAATTATTATTTATATATATTAATCTATATATATCAAATATATGTATGTATGATATATATTAATTTATATAATGACAAATAATAATAATTGTTATTATTATTATTATTTACATAGTTAGCTCTCATGTTTTGGAGAAAAACATTCCAAAACAAGGAGCTAAGAATAAATCCAACGCAGTGCTTTAGTAGCACRTTAGCCCTGATAGCTGCAACTGCCCTGTGAGGCACAAAGGAATGTTAACTCTGAAACCTAGTGATGCACCAGGGCAGCCAGCCCCTCGCAGACCCGCCCCGTTGAGCTGCAGCCCGGCAAGAGGCCCCTTCCCAGGGCATCATCCTCTTCCTCTCCGCAGGTATCTCTTCACCCTGCAGATCAAGAAGGACTTGGCTGTCGGGCGGCTGCCCTGCAGTGACAAGAGCGCCGCGCTGCTGGTGTCCCTCCTGCTGCAGTGTAAGGACCCCATGGGGAGCCGGGGGKCCGGGCTGTGGGACCGGGGTGTCACGGTGCCACCCCCAGCTCCTCACCCCGCTGTGCCCCACAGCTGAGCTGGGCGACTTCCATGAAGAGAGGGACCAGAGGCACCTGGCCACCCACAAGTACCTGCCCAACCAGGACTACCTGGACAACAAGATCATGCACTACCACCGCAAACACAGGTGAGAGCCCACCCAAAACCCACCGCAAGGCCCGGCACGGCGCCACGCGCCTGCTAACGAGGATGCTTTAATGAGCACGTGGAGCTGGCGCTGCAGCTGCCCAGTGCCCCACGGGAGCCCTCACCATCTACACTAGCAAGCACAGCAGCATGCCTTGAGCTTGGCCTGTTTAGCCTGGAAAAGAGAGGACTGAGCGGGCATCTCATCAACAGATACAAATACCTGAAGGGAGAATGGAAAGAGGATGGGGCTATGGGTGTAAGTTGRAACACAGGCAGTTCCATCTCCGTGTGAGGAAGAACTTCCCTGTGAGGGTGCCAGAGCCCTGGCACAGGCTGCCCWGGGAGGCTGTGGAGTCTCCTTCTCTGGAGGTCTTCCAAACCCACCTGGATGCGACCAGTGTCCCGTGCTCTGGGTGTCCCTGCTGGAGCAGGGCGTTGGGCTAGATGATCTCCAGAGGTCCCTTCTGTCCTCAACCACCCTGTGACTCGGTGGTTTTTCAGCCTCCTCTCGCTCTTGCCACTCCTTTGTGCCTGCAGCGGGAAGACGGCGGCCGAGTCGGACGCGCAGCTGCTGGACGTCGCCCGGAAGCTGGACATGTACGGGATTCGCCCGCACGCCGCCAGCGACGGCGAGGGCACGCACATCACCCTGGCCGTGACGCACATGGGCGTGCTGGTGYTGCGGGTGAGCTCCCAGTCCCTCCAAACCCCGGCAAGCAAAGGACACAACCCAAGCAGCCCCATGCGGTCACCTCGGCCCGCGCGGGCCKTGTTTCACCCTTGTAAAGCAGAGCACGGCCATGTAGTCCTGCGGGTCGCAGCGCTGCGTCACGCGTGCTCCATGTATAATCTCCCAGCAAAAATACCCCCCTCCTGTCTGCGCCGTTGCGTAAGGCTGTAATCACGGCCTCGCTGCGGAGGAACTACAGCCCCGGCGAAGCAGCGCTCGCCTCCCACACCGACTTAATTTCAACCTGGGACCGGCTTGCTAGAGCACGGGAAGAGCCTAACTGTGGGTCTCCTGGTGGTAATTAGTGCTGCTAGACCTGGTTATTTGTGTGGAGCCGTAAACACGGCGAGGCCGTACGTGTGGTTGGAGCATCTGGGATGCCAGAAAGCCCTCAGGGTGTTCTTGAGATCTGGAGGGTCCCAAGGTTGTGGGGTCGTTTAGCGTGGCCTGATCTGCTGCTGCAGTGGTCGTGGGGCCGGCAAAGAGCGTCTCTAGGAGAATAGCAAAGCCCTGAAGTCCATTCCCATGTTTGGGATCAGCTGGTGGGATTGTGGGTCCCAGGGCTGTGAGGGGTCTGCTCAGGTTGAGTCTGCGCGGCGCTGGTGTCTCCAAGGGCCACACCTCAGCCCTGCTCGTTTCACAGTCCACCGTGTCCGCCTTTGTAGGGCAACACCAAGATCAACACCTTCAACTGGGCCAAAATCCGAAAACTCAGCTTCAAGAGGAAGCATTTCCTCATCAAGCTCCATGCCAACATYGCTGTAAGTACCTGGCCGGGTGCTGCAGCCACCAGCCCGGGGTTGGCGGCTGGTAGGCCGAGATGGTCTTGGATGGTGGTTTTTTTTTTTTTGTGAGTAAACCCCATTTTCACTGTTTTTCCTGCTCATGGCATCCCACGGGGGCTGTGGCCACGCAGGCGCTGTGCAAGGACACACTGGAGTTCACCATGGCCAGCCGGGACGCCTGCAAGGCCTTCTGGAAGACTTGCGTGGAGTACCATGCCTTCTTCAGGCTCTCCGAGGAGCCCAAGTCCAAGCCCAAAGCCCTGCTGTGCAGCAAGGGCTCCAGCTTCCGATACAGGTAACWAAAATTCATTATTTCTGGGAAAAGGGGGCCGGGGCTGTCGGCAAAGGCCGACGGCTCCTCCTGGGCTGTTGCAGCGGGAGGACACAGCGGCAGCTGCTGGAGCACGGGCGGAAGGGGCAGCTGCGGAGCCTGCCCTTCGAGAGGTACCGGGGGGACAGGGTGGCGGCGGGGACAGCGCTGCGGCGCCCGATAACCCCCTGCTCCCTGCAGGAAGCGCCGCACGTCCCGCTACGACGAGCGCCAGGTCCGCTCCTCACCAGACCTCCTCACGGACGTGTCCAGGCAGGTAGGTGCCCTTGGCCGTGGCGCGTGTGGGAGGCCAGGCTGCTGGCAGGCAGGTGCCCATGGCCGCGGTGGCCATGGCGCGTGTGGGAGGCCAGGCCGCCGCCGCCACGGCCGCCCGCCCGCAGGTGGAGGAGCTGCGCGCGGCCTACGGCGCCTTCCATGGCGCCCACGCCTCCGAGCCCAGCCTGGAGGCGGCGGCGTCGTCGTCGTGCGCGGAGCTGCCGGGCGCCCGCGGCGCCTTCCTGCCACCCTCGCGCAGCAGCTCGGCCTTCCCGCTGCTCTGGGAGGCGCCGGGGCCGCCGTCGCCGCCRCCGCCGCCGCTCACGTCCTTCCAGCCGCGCCGCGCCGCCGCCAAGAGCACCTCGGTGGGCAACATGTGGGAGGCGGCGCGGCCGCCGGGTCCCCCCGCGCCGCCCGCCGCCCCACGCCTCTGCTTCTACGTGGAGCCGCCGCCGCCAGCGCGCTGCCAGGACGGGAGCCCCGGCGAGCGGCGCGGCTGGGAGCAGCGCCCGCGCGAGGCGCCGCCCAAGCGCTCCTGGAGCCAGTCGGACATGAAGAGCCTGCGCTTCCCCTGYGGCTCCGAGTTCAGGCCGCTGGGGCCCTGCCCGGCGCTCAGCAGCAGCAGCCGCCGCGCGGGCGCGTTCCGGCCCGTGGCGGCCCCGCGGCGCCCGCTCGCCGGCAGCAGCACCGAGTCCAGCGACTCCGAGCCCGAGCCGCTGGCGGCCGAGTGCGGCGCCTGCTACGGGCGGCCGCGGGCCTTGCCCGCTGCCCGCCTGCGCCTCTCCTCCGGCAGCCTCCAGCTGGACGAGGAGGACGAGGAGGTGGCCTTGGCCACCGCGGCGCAGAGGACGCCCTGGGGCGCCGCTGGCTATTTCACCTAGCGCCTTGGCGAGCCGCTTGCTCGGCGCCGTGGGCTCTCAGGGAGTCCACGACGTGGACGTGGTGTTCCTGGACAACGATGGTGCTGTTGGACGCCCCTGTCCCCTGCACCCCACCTGGTTGCACGGCCAGGGCTTGTCCCCACACACCTGGAAGCAGCAGCAGGGCCTTCCTGTGYGTTCCCGGTGGGGTTCAGCGCCAGSGTGGCTCTGTGGGAAGAGAAGCAAGATGTTCAAGGGGAGGATCAGAGAGGACAAACTGCTCTGTGTGAAGGTTGTGGCTGGTGCCCCTTGCAGGACAGGGGCACTCCTGGGAGCTCCTTGCACCGCTCACAGCTGAACAACTTACTCCATCTTTCCCCCAAGCCACTTTGAGCATCATCCTTCCATCGAGAAGCACCACAGTGGTGCTCASCAACCGTCCTAGCAGCATCCTGCACCTTTCCAGGAACAGCATTCACATTCATCCCTTGGCTCCACACTTTCTGTCCTGCCGCTAGCCCCAGAGCTCCTGGGGCCCTTTGCTCCCACAAACCTGTCCCGGGAGAGGGACGGGGGAAAAAAGATGCCAGGAGGGCGCTGGGGAAAAGCAGGCAGCGGGTGGTCCCCCTTGGCGGGGGTGAAGCTCGCTGTAACCAAGGCACTGCTGAACGGTTCTGGTTGCTGCATGAGCACAAGGTTATTTTTACCAGGGCTCTTTCCATAAAGATAGAAAGGAGAAGGGAATTGTTAAAAATCCACAGTATGGGCAGGAAAACAATTTCTTCAGTGTTGCCTGAAAGAGCAAAGGTATAAAAATGCTTGAGGTAAAAGTGTAAATAAAATTAAATAAATAAATAAAWAAGAAACTTGCTTACCCTAGAATTACAGGAAACCCACCTTGGAAAGGGGTCCCAGACAACTAAAGAATGATACCGAAAGATTTTAGGGAAGGATTTTGTTATTTTTAAGGACCCTCGTTTAAGATTCTGTAGGATGTCAGCGCAAGGAGACCCTCCCCCCCCCTCCCCCCCCCAACCCAGTAACTCCACAGCTGGGATAAACTCTGAGAACGGATTCCAGGGGCAAGCAAGCTGGGGGAAAAAAAGAGAAAACAAAGGTTAGTTGCAATGCAAGAACTTCAGGGCACTGCCACTCCACAAACATCTGCTCGCTGTTGTCAAAGCTGGGCAATAAAGACGAGCTGCCCACACAGGAGGTTCGTGTCCTTCCTTGCACCGGGGCAGCTGCAGCCCCAGCCGCCCTCCTCGGTGCCCTGGGATGCTCCAGGCCAAGCGTAGGGATCCATGGACAAAGGTTGTTCTGGGGCAGCTTTCCCTAGAGCAAAGGCCCATGGAGGAGGCTMCATTCTCCAGAAAGGACCAGGCTGCAAAGAACAGGAGGGCAGGGGCCTCCTCCCTGCCTTCAGCAGGAGGAACAAGGACCTGGGATCTGTTTTTGGATTTTCCATGGAACAGAGCACGCTGGGGCAGGCCCTGTGCACCGTGACTTAGCACATCTTACACCACACGGTGCAACAGCACAGCAGCAGAGCAGCCAGTGAACATGGGGCAGAAATTACCATTTTCAACCCAAAATGATGACATAAGTTAGCTTTCTAGAAGTACTAAAACAGGTTTTCAATGTGTTCAATTCATCTCTGTATTTAAGAGTAATTTCACTTATTGGTAAATAAAGGCAAGCCAACATCTATGATGCTAAAACTTTGCAGCGAGGAAAATAACTTTATTCCAGTGTTAATAAATAAAACAGTGTGATAAAAACCACCATACTTTTAACAACTGCTAAGCTTTATGCCAACATTAAGACTCTACCTACATTCTCATTCAACTAGACATTCAATCAAACGCAATTTCTCTATGGTTACTACATGTTCACTGTACAAAGTGTATTAGAGGAATCAGACCAGGGATTTTAAAGAATCCCTACACTGATAAAGGACTCTGCTACCAAAGACCCAACAGGTTTATTCTGTGATTCAGACTACTTTAAGACTACTTCAGGCTGAGTTCTTCTCAGGCTACAGTGGGAAGACGTAACAAACAAGGAGCTGGTTCCTACATGAATGTTTTGATAAATCTTTCCACTAGCAAGGTGCCAGCAAGGGAATAATGCTGATTAAGTTACTCCGCTCATCAATAACTAACACACAGGGGCTGGGGCAGGAGGGACAGAGGGACAACGCTCTGGAAACCAGGAATACAGACATCCACTAAGGGTTATGTTACAGTGTTAGGATGCACAGCCTTTAGGAGCTGAAATGCCTCATGCAGTGCAATGAACTTGTTTCTCGACTGGGCTGTATCACAGAATGAGGCTGTTCTGGGTGTACATGGATTGATTAATCCCCACAGTAGCCCACGCGGGAGGTGTCCATCCCACCCATTGCACGGGGAGAGGCACCACCGCCTGTTGCGGTCACAGGGCACACAGGGAGGTTTCAGTTTCTGCTTTAACTGAGTAACCTATGGAGTTCCATAGGTTCCTCCTATGGAATTGCTGCCTAGATGAAAAGTATAGACGAAAGGCCCCCCACAAAGACGGCAGAGTAACCCATGACAGGATTTGGAGGAACTCCCATCACCTCTCCCTTGGCCTCCAGTATAAAAGGCGGCTCTAAGGGAAGTGACACAGAAGTAAAAACATTTTTAATTCTGCAAAATAAGCGTGGCTCTGAAACGAGGCCTAGGCCGAGACTGCTGAAATAAAGGCGAGATAACTGTGACGCAGGCTTTTCTGTACCTCKAGTCCACAACGCCGAGCTCCCAAGCCAGACGCGTCAAGATCTCCGCAGCGCTGGCAGCGGCGCCGCACGTTCCTCTGGGCACACCGGTCCCGACGACTCCTCTACGGGCCCGAGCGTGGAGCAGATCCTGGTGCCGCTCGGGCAGCCCGACCCTTCCAGATCACCCCTGCCACCACACAAGGAGCAGCTTTGCTCAGCCACACCACAAACCTCCACAAGGGTCATCCCTACCTTCGCACACCGAGTAAAAATCCAGAATAAAGCAACGGAAGCAGCTCATGAAAGTTTACAGAACTTAAATATTTATTTTTTAAACCATTTAACCCCCCCAAAACATTGAAATAAGCTTCATCTATAAACAGATTTACAAGACTAACAACTACAGAAGCTAGAGGAACACTACAATTTGTTTCTGTGATGCAGTTATTTTGTAAAGCTTCAAATCAACTGTATTTACAACTTTTGCTGCTTTTACATTTATAAAAATATTTATTTAATCCATAACATTATTGTTTTCAAAAACTATTTCCAGACTTTTTTTTTTTCTCAGATATAAATTCTAATTGGATTTCAGTTATATAGCAGATGAAAGATTTAAACAGAAACATTTTCTTTAAAATTAAAACAAGGAGTTAAAACTAATTTTTACAGTGTAGGCACCATTGAAAATAATTGTCCTTGGCATATCTAACCACCATCTCTCACAAGTGTCCTTTATATAAAAACGATGTAATGGCAACATTTGACTAAAAATGCAATATTTACTTGCACACCATTACTTTCTCAATATTTGGCAGATATATTTCAGATTCTTTAAAATGACTTTTGTGCAAAAACAAAATGTGCAGGTCTGAACCATAAAATAAACACACCCAGCCTTTATCAAAAATAAATTTACACCAACAGTTCCACAGCTAAGTACTGAAAAAACAATCAAAACTTCAGCATAATATACATACTGGGTTGAAAAAGGAAAACAAACCAAAACAAAAAACAGAAAAAGAAGATATTACCCATCTAGCAGTACCATAAATATATAACTGAAAGCAACTTTATAGTCTTACCTACTTTTTATGAGGAAATAAAGAAAAAAAATCACTCCGTACTGCACAGTACTACCTTTTCGTGAAAGAATATCTATAACTCAGTTATTTGCATATTAACTGGTAAATACATATCTTAAAATACACTTTCAGAAAATTATAAACAAATTATGTTGATGCACTGTATTTAATGTACTTAAGAACAAAAACGTGTATAAATATCTTACAGGAGAAACAACACCACCACACAGAACGCTGGTGTTACGCTTATACCTGCTTGTGAGGTATGTATCATGCGACGCTCGGCTTCTCTGGCTCCCTTCCACCCAGGCATGTATACTCAGAGGAAAAAAATTAAATTAAATTGGACTTCAGTTTTTGTCCATTATTGCCAAAAGCCCCACCCCCTCAACTGTATTGCTTTAATTTTCCTACCATGATGAATAAGATTGAGTTACTACCTAAAACCTGCGCTAAAAGGTAACCTATGTACTGTACATCAGGATACTCCTGTTGCTACATATCACCTGCAAACTAGTGACATATTGCTCTCAAATATATGTAATCATAGAGCTGCCTAAAATACTGTACCAATTTAGAATTAGAGTAGATACTGTTGCAGGTTTATTTCCCAGGGCATGATAACTCTATGCTGGTTGAAGCAGGTGCTACAGCAATACCTTTGCCACTACGTTACATGTTTTGAATACGCTTGTGAAAAAGCTATTTTCTCTGAAGCTTGTTAGTGATTTACAAAAGTTTAACTCAGGAATACAAAAGACCTGTACATCCCTGTGCACAGGCGCAAAAGAGCCTCAAAACATACTGTACTTRCACTTCCTAGTAACTAAAGTAATGGTTATTTCTAAAAGCAAAACTGCACCTCAACATTTATCCGGTTAAACAGGTGAAACTACAATATTAAAAGTTGTTCTTTACAAAATAATTTCCTGAAAATATAAAACCATGTGCACTGCCACAAAATAGTTGAGTAGGTTCTTTCAAATCCTCAATCACCATCAATATGTTGCAAAGATCCAAAAGGCACAAGGAGCTCATGAGCTAAGCACTGCCAAGCTTGAAGTAGTTTGGTGGGTTTCACTGGGTCCATACGAAACAGCAGTCAATTACGTGAAGTTTCTTAGGATGAGTCATTAACAGAAAATCTACAAATAAAACAGAAATTTTATTCCATTTTCACTTTGCAACCACCACATAGTAGTCAGTCCAATGATCAGAGACAAAGTGCAGATTCTCTTACTCCCTTACTTGCTATAAATATATTTGAGATAAAASTGCAGGCTAAATTAAAAGCTGCAAACTCTAACTATAATACCATTGCAGCACTAAATGAACATAAAAAAAGAGACTGATACAATTTTAGTCAAAGCAACCAGAAGCACTCCATATGAGCAACAGAGCAAAAGTTTAACTTCCTGCTTCTAACAGATCTGTCCCTTATCACAGAATTCCACTCAAGTTTTCCTAATATACACAGTATCTAAAATTCAGTCAATCTTTCTTGAATATAGGCATTAAATTTTAAGCTTTTATTTTAGAATAAAGATTTTTGGTTGTTTTAAATGCATACAAAAGTCCTTAACTTACTTCTGAAATTTCTCCATAAGTTTCTTCACCATTTTATCTGTGATCCCTGGACATGTTGCTTCTGCCATATTGATACTTTTCTCAAGTTCCTCGATCGCTTTTTTTCTGCTAGCATCATTTGTGTCTTGCTGTTTAAGCTGAATAACAGATAAAGTTTACAACAGATAAAGTTTACAAAGTGTAATTGGTTTTGCCATACTTTCAAAAGGTCTTTTAAATTAAAGCTTACCTCAGCAAACACAGGGGTGATTATCATTGTTAAACAACTCAGGGTTTTAACAAGCTCTTGATCCTAAAAATGAGCAAATGCAGGTTATTTTACTATACTGTTGTAGAGTGTATAAATTATACTTTACATAGCATGGACAACTTTGAAAGTCATGTCACACATTGTCACAGTTCTATTCTGATCAATATCATATGAACATTTMACATTCAACCTTTAAGAAACAGATAATTTATTACTATATGGTATCTTCTGCAACCGAGGCTGACGTTATCACTAACGAGCTCTGTGACGACTTACAAAAAGGTAATCAGCTCTTAGGAAGTAATTATTAGCATTTATGAATACGTCACAATGGCTTCAAAACTAGCACTTTAAAGAACAAGTTTTCAGATCATACATACCGTCCCATTCTGCAGCTTCTTTGCATCTGGTTTCTTTCGAACTGTAGTAAAACTCCACTCGGGATGAGAGTTATTTTCTTTGTTACTTGATTCCCTGAAGGAAAAGGACACCATTTACATAACACTAGCCACAACAGCATGCTAAGCAGCACAGGTAACCCAAATACATATTAAACCTACGTGGATAAGTTCAGCACACCTTAAAGTAAAGAGTGCACTGAATCTAACTGAACTTCAGAGAGAAGACAAACCCTAGAGATTAAGTCAAAGCCTGATSAAAGCAAATACATCTAGTCTACTCATAAAGCTTTCCTTCTCCCATGGTTTCCCACTTAAAAGTTATCTGATATCCAGAAAAATGAGAGACTTGGAGAACAGATGCTGTTCCACATGSCATATCTTCACACACCTTGGTCTTGCTCTGCAATGTTTTCAATAGTGTTGCATTTTGGTTTAACCACTAACCTGAGACTAGGGAACACCCAGTACTTAAACAGAACTGAAATTGAGTTTGAGGAGAAGTTTAAACAAGTAATGAGTGCATAGCCTGATTTATGCATCAGTCTCTAGGTTCAGAAAAAGAGTTCCCTTTGAAAGGTCAACGCTGATGCAAAACATACTGAGTAAAGACAGTTACGTAGGAGAGGAGTGAATGAGATACGTAAACTGCAATGCCAGTAACACTTAAAGATAACAGACAAATAACTACACAAACCCAGGCTACACTGTGAAAATGAACTTACGAATCAGAGCCATCGGAATCGGATTCATCGCTACTGTGCCCCTCTGCCTTCCACCTCTTAAACCTGTCTATGAGTTCTGTCAGATATGAAGTTTTCTTGGCATTTTTCATTATGAATTTGTGCTTCAGAAGTTCTTTTGCAGTGGGGCGCTGTAAGAAACATTAGAAATATTTATCTTCATGGTAACATGCTCTGATTTTGTATGATAGCTATGGAGATTTAGTATAACTGACTCCCAGATCTTAATTTGTACAGCATTAGGAATTCAGTTCAAGCAGGAAGAAAAGCCAGCAGTAATCCACATTTACAAGTGCTCTAAAAATATGATYGAGTTGCACAGAGACTATACTGCGTATTCTTCTGCATTAGAAAGTACACACCCAGGAAGATGACTAATCAAAATTCKCCGATGCAACATTTCCTTGTAGAGCAGACAGTAAAAGTTCTGCTGAACATTCAAGATTCTTCAGCCTTCTCTCTTCTTATATGAGCCCAAGTTAGCCTGCTCCTTAGGAAGTTGTCTCTGACATTATCATTTCTTTGKTCACCCACCCCCTTGCTTTTATTATTTTAAACTGAAGAAAGCAGGATGGGAAGACATGCATTAAAAAAGCGTTTATATCACTTTCAGTGGAAAGTATAGTCTTTAAAATCGTTTGAATTGAGTATGATGGGCTAGAATGAGAAGGAACAAAAACAGCTGCTCTCAAAAGCACATACATAAATAAATTAAAAATAAAACCCCACCTACACACAGACATTTTATCTACTCACAAATGTTGGGTCCTTATTCAGGCATGCATCGATGAATTCTTTGAAAGGTTTACTGAACTCTCCTAACAAAGTTGGAGGATTGTTTTTAGGAATGAGAAACAGAACTCTCATCGGATGCATATCCGAGTTGGGTGGCTCCCCTTTGGCTAGTTCAATGGCAGTGATGCCCAACGACCAGATGTCAGCCTGAGAAAGGGAAAAGATAATTTTAGTAAAAAACTAAGCACTACCATGACAAAGCATTTAGCAACTAAAAGCTTTCTATATACACACTACAACCTTAATGTTAGTATAAGCGGATGATGGATAAATTTTTTTTTTAATAGCCCTATAGTAGTCTTTAGTAACTCTGGCAAATGTATACATCACCTCCAGTTCTACAGTGCTAAATGTGTACCTGAAGACATGTTTTTGGAAAAAGCCTCAGAAATGTTTCTCTTGCCAGAAACTTTTTCCACATAAAAAAACTGAAGAGAATTGCCATGAATTTCCTAAGTGCAGTTCAGTTCTGTTTAGACATCAAAACTGCATACTGCTATTGAACTACACAAGCACTTCAGTATTCAACCTTGTTCTTACACCTTACTCTGTAAAGAAACAGGGGGGGTCTTCAACCAAATCTAGCAGATGATCACTCAATTTCTTTCCCAGCAGACTCCTTAAGGAATTTAGCCAAGAAGTGATCAACAACGATTATTAAACCTGCAATACCAAATTCCTAAAAGGTCTGAACCCCAGTTTTACTGKGCAAGTGTCTGCATAGTTGAGACTGCATGGCACAGAAGTCTTAACCCAAAGCTGCCGGTATATTAGGCAAGAGTTACAAACTGYATCTCACCACTGTTAGAGAATCACAGAAAGGCTGAGGCTGGAAGGGATCTCTGGAGATMATCTAGTTCAACCTCTCTGGCTCAAGTCAGGGCACCCAGAGCACGTGGCACAGGGTGGCATCCAGGCAGGTTTGGAAGACCTCCAAATCACTCTTTACCCTCAACCTAATCCTGCTCAGTAGATATTCAGGGGAATACACAGCAGGGACACTTACAGTTTGTCTCTATGTGCCTTCTACATATCACAATACTGCTTAAGATAAATGTTACCAATACATAAATCAATTCAAAAACAATTAAAACAGGGAAAAAAAAAAAAAAAAAACAAACAGCAGTACTCTGGAGTGGGTCTACATGTTTGTTTCCTTTCTGAGATAAACTGATGGAATTCCATAAACTGATGGAAAGAGAGAGTTGAATTGAGCAAAAATACACTCAAAAGCAGTAGGAGGACAACAAGAGGGAATAAACAGGGAGGTGAAGGCACCAGGGTGGGGCTCCTGTTCTCAGGAAAAACCATGTTTAGACAGACCCTGAGAACAGACATCTGGATGGTAYTGACAGAAATAACCTTGCTACTATGAAGGGACAGCAATGGTTCTCAAATACTGCAGGAAATGTCCTAAACAAGGTCCATGCTTTCCTTCCGATTACATGACTCACAACAACCTTACCTTTTTCAATAGTATTTCACAAAGAGATTGAAAAAGTTTAGGAAAAGTATAAAGCAAATTAAGGGCATTTCTTTGTAACTTCTAAGACATTCAATAATCTAAGAGATTCAATAATTTTATCRCTCATAACTTGCCCTTTAAACCTCCATTTATCCTCAATAGTACTCCCCCTTTTCACCCTCGGCCCTGCTCCTGGCAAGAGGAAGTCCAGGAGGCCAGCTTAAAGCACCTAGATACTTTTAATTTTTATGACAAAGACCTTGCTCTTTGAAAATGGGGAGAACAGAACAAAATTTCAGCTGCCATCTTAGCTTTAAACAAGTTGATTACTTCTGGTGAGAATTTTAACACTGTTTGAATTTAAATGGGAAACACTGAATGAAATTCAAAAAAAAAATCCATAGCACTTAGAGCATCCAGTGAGTTTCCCTGAAAGAATGATAACTTAAAGGTACCGAATTTATGCAATTGTAGCATAAAAACAATCCAATCAGACTTTCCATGTTCATATTCAGAACTCTGAAATCCATTTCATCAGTACTCAGAGCTAAAAAGACAAAACAGACAAGGCTACAGATACAAAGGGAAGACCTTCTATTAGTACACTTACTTTGGAGTCATAGGCTGACTGCTGGATAACTTCAGGTGCCATCCAAAACGGAGTTCCTACAAAGGTATTCCTCTTGATTTGCGTATCTGTCAGCTGCCCAGCAACTCCAAAGTCAGCAAGTTTAACATCTCCTTGTTCTGATAACAAGACATTGGCAGCTGCCGCAGGAAAATAATACAATACTTAGAATATGGCTCCTATGATTTTACAACTTTAAAAAGATAGAAATTATACAGAAAGTGCCATGCACCTTTTATATCCCTGTGGATTTTCTTCTCGGAGTGCAGGTAGTCAAGACCTTTCAAGATTTCCTTCAGCATGGTAGCAATCTGGAACTCATCAAATGGGCCAGCCCGCAGCTTTAGAGAAAGCACATGTTAATTCAAATTTAAACTTGAAATCTAACCTAACAAAACCAAGAGAAGTCATAAACATGAATATTCAATATCCTCCAAGAAATAAGGGTTAAATCATCTTTAAGTCTCCTATATTGAAAATATACTGAAAAAGGTTTAGTATTCTTTTTCTTATGTACACAAATACACACTCCCCTCACCTCTGAATCCATATGAAAAGTTAATGAACTTTCCAAGAAGTTCTAGTTTGCCAAAGCCTGCACATAGAATTTTGCCTTTTAGATTAAATAAGTTACGAAATCCAAGTTTATTTCAAAATAAATCAAACTATTCACGGTATGTGTTCACAGCTTAACAATCTATTTTTTTTTCATGTTACAATATACTGGATTCCATGTTTGTTTTTCATTTACAACAGAACACACTACTGCAAAGCAACTTGTATGGACTAAGTGTAAAGTCAGTCAGCATAGGAAGCTATCTAAATAAAAGAGAAACAACTAAGGTGAGTAATTCTGCTAAAAAGCAAACAAAGCAAAAATACAGCAGTGAAAGAGAAAGAACACCAGGGTGCTATCAAGACAAAAAGGTTTTATCCTCCTAAAGGAGGACTGAAACCACGGAATATTACTCAAAGCTGTGTTTACAGTCTTCTGTGGAACATTAGAAATAATTTATTCTTTGTTAACATTTTGATAGTTATCTCACAGCCACGTCCCCCAAAAGACTAAGCTCCAAAGCTACAAGCTACCATATGCTTTGCACAAGGACTATGCCTTTGCACTGCTGCAGCTCAGCCAAAGCAGTGAAATTTCACATGAAAAAAATGTTAGAACAAATTAGTGAAGTTAAACAATCAATGCAGACAAGATCTCTGTTAGCAACTGTAACATCAAGAGGATTCTCTAATACTGAAGACACTGTATTTTTACTCCAAAGTAACATAGACAAAGCCCAAGTTATATTATCTTACAGGAAAGGGCGAGTCTAAGCTTTACAGTCAAGGCGGAGCTGTACTGAAACTGAGGGGAAACCACATCCAGGTTCAGTGGACTGTGCCTTTTTTTCCCCCTTTATTTATTAAGTTACATCCTTTATGAATGCCTCATTATATTAAGAAAAAGGCACTTTCATGTTTAACTGTAAATATCTGAAAATGGAAAAGCCAACACCTTTTCAGCCAGTTAAAATTCGCTGTACTCTGTGAGCACACACAACATTCATTCTTGAAACCCAGTCCCAAAGGAAACATTTGAATTTAGGCTAATGAATATGCTACTCTTTAGGGGGTTGGGAAGGTACATGGCAAGAACACTACTTCTCCTCATAGTAAAAAATCTCAGTTTGCTTCCCTTGGACTGAAAATTAATGGACACATCCTAGCGCTTAGAAGACAAACAGCAAAACCAAATTAATATCAGTTTTACAACTGGAACTCAAAAGGCAAAAATTCATATACTTACAAGGTCTAAAGCTGATCCTCCACCCAAATATTCCATTATTATCCATAGCTTTGTGCCCTGTAAAGAGAGGCATTAGTTGTTAGAAGGACAAGTGTGTCCTGAAAATAATCGAACAAAACAAAAACATCAACCCTAAAGACTACCAGAATATAGCTAGGAGAACAGAATTGCAGAGCCCCATTAATCATTGGGTTGTATCTAATTACTGCTTTAAAGTAAATTAGTTTTTTCCTAAGACTGTAGTTGCAATGAGATACAGACAATTAATTTCAGCTGAGATGCATTCTTAATACACATGTGTAATAAAATTCATAGAAATTTACAAAATTAGATCAGCTCACARTTAAGTAAATAAAATTATCCTATGATTTTCTCAAATGAAACTTTCCTGTTACACCAAACTGTGGTCTTAACTCATATCCTTGCCTGAGCAAAGCTATTCAGCAGACCTTAAGATTCCTTAAATAAGGAGGGGAAAGAAAAAAAAGCGAAATACAAAATAAAAATAAGATGAAACTTCTCCTCAAAGGGAATAGAACTATAAAATAAAAATGGATGTAGCTGTTAAATGCCTCTTCATCTATAAGGTAATGGAGCAAGTGTGTATCCAGCACCCTCAAGCTCCAACTTGGCTTGTCAGATTCGGCAAAAATTGAAATTTCAGAGTCCCTCAATGTCTTACGTCTACCAAAAACATGCCTGCTACCATTGGGGCAGCTTCAACTTTGAGACACAAGCAGCACACGACACCATCTGGGAGAAGCTGCATTACTGTATCGAGGAAAAAATCCTGCCCTTTTCCTAAGCCTTCAGACTAGAGGTTCCAAATTGGTCACTTAAAGGTTGAAGATAAGAACACCACAAGTAATTAAAAAGATTTAAAGATCACACTGGAAAGTGCATATTCCTTTATGTTATTTGAACCTTCATTCCTACTTGGAAAAAGGGCAGAGGAATGCCAAGAGTTTCTGCTTTCATTGCTGAGATCCCAGCTATACTGCTGAACACTAGAATTGACAAAATCTTCTAACGCTGATTTCTAGATGCTGACTTTGCCCTGCATGTGCAGCTGAAAATAGTGACTGATTCATATAAATAAAACAGAAAGATCTGGTAGCAATATTGCTGTTTCCAAAGGGGAGTCTTCTCTGTTCACTTCCCACAATCTCCTCACATTTCAGAGTAAGATATCTGGATTTAAACCTACGGACTACTACTCCATGAAGCATGCAAGAAGTTACTTCCTGGGAAATAAAACACAACAATAAAGATCAGTCATTAAAACCAAACCAGCACTGGCAAAGTCACATTTACTGGTTAAGTCTCCTGCAAATAATTTACTAGTGCTCGTCCCTTGTAACAGTGCACAGCTTATGGCAGAACTACTTTTTCAAGCCTTTTCCATACTGCAGGCTATGCACTATATTCTGCCTTATTTCTTTTCCCGGCTAGTAAAAGAAATCCGAAGGAAACCCAACAAGCAAATAAAGGTGCAGTTTTTGAGGGCACCACATCCAATTATCTCAACAAAGTGAACTCTGTTGGATTTATACTGAATTTAAGAAACACGCCATTTACGAGGGCCTATTCCAGTATTATGAGATCAGCAGGGAAGGGCTGGCTAATTTTAGCAGGTTTTTATAAAGCTCAACTTTGCCAGCTGAGAAAACCTGCAAGAAACTCTCGTTTAAGGCAAACATTGTGGTTACCAGGCATGTTTGGAAGATTTGACTATTACTTGAAAACAGTATAGGGTGAACATGAATAAGTACTGTGTTCCTGTAATATAACATCTCAAAGAAATTGCTATCATCCAGTGTTACTGGGTGTGTGTATTTGCTAGCTAACAAGTAGAACCCTTTTTTCCTAGCTATTTTAGGTCRGCTAAGTATAAATAGGCAGTGCAGAACACAACCAGTATCTTTGCATGTTCTCAAAGCTCTTCTGCATAAACTGCTGTTTAATTTTGATAGTTTTCAGATGTTACTATAGGAGTTATCCATGASGAGTTATCCTCAAGCTTGGTTTATTTACGAGAAAAAAAGAGCAAGCCGAGAGTGCTGTAATAGTTAAGGGATGAAAATTCAATTTCTAGACCAAAAGCTATACAGCACAAACAGGAAAATAGACAGGATGTTTTAGTCTCCAAGAGACCATCTCTCAATTGAATCAACCTGGAAAAATACAGCCCAGGTATAGAATCACAGAATCCTTAAGGTTGAAAGAGAGCATCTAGTCCAACCCCCTGCACACACAGGGTCACCTAAAGCATGGCACAGGCTGCATCCAAGCGGGTTTTGAAGATCTCCGGAGAAGCTGACTCTCTAACCTCCCTGGGCAGCCTGTTCCAGGGCTCTGTCACCCTTGCTGTTAAGAATTTTTTCCTTAAGTTCCTGTGGAACTTTTGGTGCTTCAGTTTGTGGCCATTTCCTCTAGTCCTGTCGGTGGCCACCACCACCTCACTCCCTCCCTTGAGGAACTCATAGACATTCATCAGATCCCCCTCAGCCTTGCTCCAGGCCCCTGATCATCCTCATAGKCCTGTGCTGGACTCTCTCTGGTAGTTCCACATCCCTCTTGTGCTGTGTCCTGCTCTGGGCTCCCCAGTATGCCCGATGTGGCCTATCCAGGGCTGAGTAGAAGGGGGACCTATCAAACCTCACAGATTTGCATCACCAAAATGCATCAGAACTAGGTTAACTTTTAATACTCTTAAMCTCTTTCCTACATGATCTTGTAAGAGTACAAGACTGACATCTTAACAAGTCATTAAGCTTAAGGAAAAACTAATTTCAGCAATTCTAATTTAAGTCACACTGCTACACGTTAGCAGTTTGTGCAGTGCCCTCTACAGTCAGAGTTTTATTCACATACTAAGCTACAATATTATTTCCTGTATTAACTCAAATTGAAGTGCCATGCTGAATCTCAAGACAGAATTAAGATGCTGACTTATCACCAACATAAACAAGATCTACACTAGGATTTAAATTCATTTATGTCTACAGAAGTGTCATTAATACGGCTGTAAGCTTGTAATTATATAAGCATTAGTGAGCAACATGATATAAAAGTAAGACCTTTAACTACTGCTGTAAGGTAGAATACTTTGTAAAAACTGAAAGTGGCTGAAAATGATAAAATTTACTTAATACTGAAGAGCAAAAGTTATGATAGAAGATCTGCAGTAACTGTTCAATGAGATGAACTGAACAACATATAAAAAAAGAGAAGCAAACATCGTTTTAGTCACAATTACTTCTTTCATCCTTACTGCAAAACCATTTCCATCAGAAACTGCCACTTGAAAGTAAAAGCCATTCAATTTTATAGATTTCACTAGCAGCAGGTTGCAAATATCATTTAATGACCAAAACCAGATCTGGATGTTCAACTGAAATGAATCAGCAAGTACTTGAGGCAACGTGAAGTGCATCTGCACTGATGGTTTGCTCTGGTCTAGCCAGGGCAATCCCATTTCTTCTTGATTTAGACAATACACAACTCCAAATTTCTAACATCCTTCCTAGAGCTTCAGAGAAAAACCATAGGGATGATTAGTGTATTTTAGAAAGCTGTTTCTATTCCACAAACATGATCTGGAAGAAGGTAGACTGGTTTGATTCCTTATCTTCTAACAGTCTAAAAGATGCCTTCATGTTCATACCTTTCACTAGCCAAAACCCAGACATATTATCTTTTTTTTTCCCCCCAGCATTAGGGAGCTCAGTCATCTACAACAAAGAAGGATGTGAAAAGAAAGAAAAAATCCCACTGATCTTTTTACATTTTTAAATACCTTCTAGTTATGCTCTTTCTAGCTACCACTTTAAAAGTTGTTTCTAGAAATAGTCTCAGKATCTTTTATATACAGAACTAATTAATCACCAGCAGACCTACCTGACTTTTTAATCCATTGCCTGTTGCCTAGAATGCAACAAGATGTCTTATTGTTTGGATTGTGGTGCCACAGTAATGCCTTTAGTCTTAATTATATAAAGTCACTTGCTGCACAACAGTACAGATTTCACTGTTTCCAAGACATGCCTACAGTATGCAGCAAAATTCCTGAAGGAAATACTGCAGCTCCTTACGATCAACAGGCTGACAACTACTCTCAGAGTAATAGCTGATAGAAAATTAAAAGCTAGAGCAATAAAACGTAGTCAGAAGAAACCCTGGAAATATCTGTAATTAACTAAAATGAAGGCATAATAAAAGATACTTTGCACAATTAACAAAGCCAATATACTCTTTCCCAAGTGATCTCCAGCTACAAGGTCTAGTATTAGTTCCCAGGGCTAAATCAAGCCTTAAAAAAAAAAGCCATGTAAGCTACTTAGAGCCATTTTATTTATTTTTAATTAAAGAACTAAAAGTAATTCTTTTATTTTTGTGGATATTTTCATTTATTTACTTGGGGAACAGCAGCAGTAGAATTACCTATCATGCTACTCAGGAATGAAAAAAACATTCCAGTAAACCAAAACTTTCTTTTTTTTCCTCTGAGAAATTTCTTGAAGGAACCAGACAACAGTCAAACTTCCACAAAAACCTTCCCACACTTCAGAGATGTTTTCTTCCCCTACGAACATTAGAAGTGTGAAAAGTAAACAAGGGACCAGCATTAATATTTCAGAATTTATCAAGATAGATTAGAAATAGAAAGAACTCAGTTGTTAGGAATGTAATATGACATTAACATATTCCTACACTTGCCAAGATTTTTTAAAAATTAAAAAAAAACCCTTTTTGGCTTCAGCACATATATTGCTAGAATAAAAAATACTTTTCTCAACAAATTTAATCCATCGCTTATCAAGCTTTTTCAGCCTAACAAATCAGAAGCCCCCCAAATAGGTTATTTCACAACTGTCAATGTTTAATCCTGAAATTCAGAGCTATGTACATGTAAAAGCACTTTCCAAAAGTTACCTGTACCTATTTGTGCTACAGGGAAAACGTTTGGTCTTCTACAGCTCAAAGTTAAAAATAGGGATATCCAGGAAGGTAACATTAGGACTTTGTTCATCACAGATAAGCAAAGAACTGTGAAAATGACTGATCACATTTGGGTCTGTGATACCACTGCTCCTACCTGTATGTTAAAGAGATGGAACTGCTGAAACGTCTCAAAAAAATTCAAATAAATAAAACCTCTGGATATTTAAGATAGCAGTAACTATGGTTAACACTTCACTATTTTAAAAATGTATCCATTAAAAACATATAAAATTTTGCAAACTGAAAAGACTTACTCCACATTGTGGACTTTTGTAGGGTGGTTTTTTTTTTTTTTTTTTAAATTGTGTCTTGGATAATATTTTACAGTTATTACATAACTTTGCTAATGTCAGTTTTACTTTGTCTCAGGCCTATTATGCTGCATAATTACAAACACAATCCCACACAACACAGGGTATCTTTCCATATCAGAGAAAAGCTTCTGCTACTATAGCTGTAAACACTGTTTTTCTAACATGGAAGTATCACCGGATTAGACTGGGTACTGTAGGGAAGAAAGAGATGAGAAAAGACAACTCCAAAAGCAAGGACAAGAACAATTCCCATACAACTTGCTTACTTGCTTCATTCTGCAGCCATTTTGTGCTATTTTCAGCTTCAAAGATCATGCAGCAAAAGCAGCAAATCAAAGTGGGAAAAATAAATTCAAATTCAAGAACAACTGAGCAACATCCTGATAGCAAGTTTTGAGAAATATAAGTTACCTTTAAATATGATCCGTAGTATTTTGTTACATAAGGACTATCACACTGACTTAAAACAGTTATTTCTTGCTGAATATCTTCTATTTCATCTTCTGCTTCCTCAAGGTCTATGATTTTTATAGCAACCACTTGCTGCGTCCGATTATCGATTCCTTTAAAGACTTCACCGAATGAGCCTTTCCCAATGCGCTCCAGTTTTGTGAATAGCTCTTCTGGGTCTGCTCTGTGGTTCTAGAAAAAGGGAAGAAAAAAAAGCACGTAAGTTACTTGCTTATTTCCAAATTATTATCCAAATTATTAGTTCTTACTGCTTCTCAAGAAGCAGATCATCCAGATTTACCGTCATCATTAGAAGGCTTSTATCAGATAAGATTATTTCCTGTACACTAAGTTCTATCCAGCTATTAGTTCCAGAATATATATTATGCAATTATGTCAAGGGTAAATCAGTCTTAAAACAAAGTCAGGTATAAACCTTATTTTATTCCCCTATAAAAAAGCCCTCTGCAAGGAAAGAATTGGACTTCTCTTGATACTGATTCTACCTGCACAGTAACAGGGGAATGCACCCACTGGCAGAGAAGCACCATCATCATTACCCATTTGCATCATTAAGGCAAGAAAAAAAGCCTGACTTCCTACCTGGCCCAGGGCCCTGGGCAGAAAAAAAAGCATCAGATCAAGATATACAGCATGGAGCTAGTTATGAGAAGGCTGCACTACCCTGTATGTACTGGCAGCCTACAACCAAGTACATAGAGACTCTGATAAGATCAGGCATGTTCAGAACAACTCGAGAGCCAAGTGAAAGTAGAGCAAAAGGGCCTGGGAGATGTTCAAAGAGGGAATCAGACAGCTGGAGCAGAGTAATAACACAGGAGCACTGACCAGAATTGGCTGGTATCACCTAAGCACGCCTTAGAAGTGGGAGTAGAGCACTGCTGAGAACACCTCACAGAAAGTCTTTCCAGGATAAATTACCATGCAAAGGTTTTAAATTGCTCAGCTGCATCCATTTGTCAGGAGAAAAAGGAAAAAAAGGCAAACAATTTCTCATTTACCCTTCAAGCTAAAGCATGCTAGGAATGCTCCCCATCCAAAAATCATAGCATCCGACAGACACAAATGACCTGATGAAGAGTTTAAGTATACAAAACTTCAGAGCACAGTAAGAAAGTCTGCAAAGAGCTGTTTTTGAGAGGCCAGAGAGATATGCCAACAAAAAGGCCTACGCTTTGGAGAAAAAAACTAGGCATATTATCTTCTTCTGAAAAACACAACAGGATTTTGAGAAGAGCTGCAGTTGATAATTTGCTACTGCTGCAAGCCAGACAACTCAATACACAGCCTAGAACAAGATGCATCTCACCAGTCCCCAAATCACTCTGCTTTAAAGGCAGTATTTGAAAACACACATATAAAAGTGCATTGGGATCATTTTTTCTCCTGTCCTAAAACTTGACACTCACTGCTCTGAATAAATGTATATGTAAAAGATGATAAATATATATTAAATAAGAAAAAATAGTGTCAGTCTGAAGGGAAAGCAGCATCCAACTCAAAGAATATCTTGCATAAGAAGCCTCTAGAAATAATAAGTAAAATGCCCATGTGGTATATTAAAAAGCTTAAAGATTTTTCAGTTACAAAAGATCTTGACACTCTTGCAAATGGATGCGAAATCTTATTCATTATTCATCAGTTCATTATTACCCGAGTCCATTCAAAAAGGGAAGATCCCACCCCCTTCTTTACCTCTTATTATCTCTCCCTCCCTCACACTAGAACAAGCATTTATTTAAGAATATGATGACATGAATCAGGGACAGATGTAACTAAGAGTTAACAGATGATTTGTCAGGTTCTGGAAAAGTTCATCTGGAAAAGGTCACTGCTAAAGACAGTCACTTATGCAAGTACAAGAGGAGCAAGCACGAAGCACTAAGATTCATGCTGATATGAAACAACAATGCAGTTACTTTTATAAATATACAAAAAATGAGGAAGTTATGGAGCTAAGTAGTGCCAAGTTCTTTGCCAGTAAAGCATAGAAAAYACCCATGCAAATCCCTTCAGAAATAAAATTAAGCCCCTCTTCCTCCCTAGCCCCCCAGAAAAAAACATTTGTTTTCATCTCTTAGTAGACGCATCCATGATCCACAGAAGGACTTGAAAGGTAAACACCACAAATCAAAACAAGACATTTTAGAGTTCAAAGACGATTAGCAAATCTTCCTCAATACCCTAAAATAATCTTATTCATAAATATAAGTTTCATCCTGACAGAGTGATGTCAGGGCAACACCAGCCTTCTGYGCAGCCCACGAAGTCCATCGCTGCAGCAGCCCTGCACAACCGCTCAGCTCCCCTCTCCTCTTCTGGAACCCAAGCACATGTTTAACAGCAAGGACAGGGTGACAGGCTCATGGAACAGGCTAGCAGGGACCTCAGAAGGTCACCTAGTCCAACTTCGTGCTCAGAGCCCCCAGCTAAAAACCTCTACAGCAAAACAGCTTTTGCCAAAGTACCTGCATTTAGTTACACCACGTCGACTGCCAGAACAGGTTAGTCATGAGCATTTTCTCTTCATTTTGATAAAAATAGCTATGCAGCAATGCTCTGGCTATATTCTGCTATAAGACTTCCCAGTTGGCTCACCTTCCTATCCATGACCCCTTTCCTTTACCCGTTTTCCAAGTTCTGCATTCTTCCTTTGAAATTAAATTAAAGCACACCTGATATCTAACTTCCAAGATTATACAGATATCTAATGACATGCACCATATTACAAGAAACAATTTAGTAATTTTAAACTGTATTTTAATAAACACTCAAATACACACAAATAATAGACAGGAGACAATCTCAGCATAACATCTTGATTAATATGCAGGTTAGATAGATGTGAATGCTTCAGGATCTGCCAGAGCAGGAGAGCTCTCAAGCTATCATCGCTTACAGAACTGGATCTTCTTCTAAGAAGGTTCATTAATGAATTTCATTAAAGGGTGCTGCATAYAAATGGATGAAAAACAGAAGCTTCAAAGTATCTCAGAGACCACGTTAATACCCTGTATCTAATGAAACAAAACCCARGATCCTCTAGGTTCCCTAAGGCAAATAATTTAACAGTCTCATGGGACTCCTTTTAAGTAGTCTGTGAATGGGAGAACATACATTCTGTTGTTCTAACAATATTTCTAAAGCCCGTCCCAGAAATGCTGTTACATTATCTGGATTTTCAAGTGTCTCCTGGGCTTCATTTAAAACAGCAGATCCCTTAAAACTGTGGAAGCAAATATTACAGTATAGCTCACCTACGCTGAGTCATTACTTAAATGCACAGTGAAGAAAAAAAGAAAAAGAAGGCATTTATGAAAGATTTCAAAAGACTTCCAGAAAGTTTGGCAAGAGGAGACCAGAGTATCTACTCATACATGTTTTTAAAATATCTGGTACAATAGCACTCTAAGATATCTCTGGAAGCTATCTGTGTATTTTAACGACACTTATACAAGGAATTACTCACTAAAATAACCTTATCTTTACAGAAAGAGAGAAGCAAAATATGAACTTTAAGGAAAAGAGCTACCTTACAGAAAGATCAAGGAAAGGAAGGAGATTATGTTGCAGCAAAACTTAATGTAAAAATCTCTAGTTTACAGTGAAGCCTCACAGTTATATTAGCATGAAGGCAGTGCTGATAGGCTCCTGATCTCTCATTTTAGAATTTATGACAATTACGCTGCTAAAACCACCATGAACTGAACCATTTTAAGTCCTACTGTGCAAATTACAGCTGACAGCAAAATTAGAAAGTGAATATGAGACTGCATATTCAAGATATCATTTGCTGTCCTCATAACAAACACTTTGGTTCAAGAAATAGAGACACTTAGTCCGTTTCTTTTACTGACTTTCAAAAGTTAACCAAGAAAATCTATTCTCAACATTTATCTGACTCTTAACAAAATACTGTGTCTGGGTTGAGCGCACATCAAAATCCTATTACAAGTAAATTGACCCTTTCACGAACATTYATCTATTCTTAGACAATGTATTACGTCTGTATTTCACTTCTGTTCAAATCCAAGAGAACTGAAATTAGAAGGAAGCAAGATTGTTAAGACTGGTAAAGGAATGAAACATTTTAAAGAAAAGTCTTCATCAACAGATATAGTAAAAGAACCTTGGTCGAGTTTCTTTCCAAACCTTATAAGCATATATTTCCACATATTGTAATTACATATCACATTACCATATATATTACATATGCTCCCATACTTTATCTGCATATGAAATATATTTTACTTCTTTAAGATAGAGAAACCACATAAAGATTGACTTTTTATTCCTGATTGATTTCCTCTCTCCCTACCCCAAAATAATTTTAAAAACATATTAAAACACATTAATACTACTCATACAAACGGCGCCACAGACTTCTGTAAGTATCATTTAAATAGTCTGAAGTCAATGAATGCACAGGTGTAAATCCATTATCACTTATAAAAAAAAATCAGAAAAAAAATAACCTAGATGGCCACTCAAAACAGAGTGAAACACATCAGTACTCCAACGTAGTCTTTTTCAAGATTTAAACAACAGGATATTAGATATTTTACTAGATTTATTAGAACTGTGTAATACCTAAGAGAAGAATGATTCTGACCACCAAACTATATAGTTTCACAGAATACCAAAGCTTTGCAATATTAAGTTTTTCTGCATAAGAGGGAACAAAAGTTAGGTTTGAGATCTGCTCTCCTTAAATGGGACCTGGACCTACATTACACAGCTGAGGAAGTGCCTCCCTCCTCTGAGGGGGCCAACTGGACATTCTCAGTGAGAACCTGAAGAGCTTTATAAAAACAAAACAACCAACCACAAAAAGCAAATGAAAAAATAAAATAATAAAAAGTAGAAAAAACATGCCTTTGTTTTTACCTAGTCAGCTACTAATTATAGAGGCCAGCTGCTTGAAAATTCTTACCACTATCAAAGTCTTAAAATCAACTTTCCTTAAAAATCTGAGAACAGGCAAGAATGTGCATTCTCAACTGTATTCTCAAAACATTTCTGAGCTGAGGCAGATGCATGCTGTCAACTGCATATTGTGCTGAAAATGGAAACAACCAAGCTCACTTCCTCTATTTTCAGCTATTCTTTCACTTTTGTAACAAAGAGGCTTAGGGTACAGCATAAATAACCAAAAAGCAAAATAAACACAC